TCACTTTTACAGGGTTGTGTTCGACCAAGTTTAACATTATACCTAAAGCTTGACAAATCTTCTCCTGAGTTTTAAGTTTGTCTTTAAGTTGTTGGTAGTCGTTTCGAATATCTGCAACAGAACTTAAGTCTCTGCTAACTTCAGGATATGTTGGTTGTTCTTTTACAGGAACTATTGTTATACCATCTTCGTCTTCGTATGGTTTCCCCACTTCAACATCTCTGTCTTTGACATTGACAACAACACTTTGACTGTTTGTTTGAGTTGGTGAATTTAACTTCACATCTGCCACCGCCATTAAACCTTTTGAAACACTCACGCTTCTATTTTTCGGAAATGACATTTTACTTAGAATAAAAAGATGGACGTATTCGGATATCTCTTTGAATTGAAGCAGAACAAAGTTTACACACACAAACAATACAAATACATTGACAGAATAGTTCTTTATACAAACAATGGTAAATGTTATAGAATAGCAGTCTTTGCTGAACCTAAATATTTTCATAAAGCAAAGAAAGTTGGTATAACTGAAATGGTGAAAGTTCTTGACGTTGACAAAAATATAACAACAAAACTTACAGATATTTCTAAAGGTAAGTTTATCTTACAATATTATGTCAAAACTGGCGTACTGTCAATATTTGACGGAGAGAAGTCAGTTCAAGAACAACTTACTGACCTGCTGCCAAAAATCTGCTCGATGGAAGCTGTCGTTATGCCAATCTGAGGAGCCCCAGCAGGTTTCATCGAACGAATCTTCAAAAGAGCATCTTCCGTGAAAAGTGCTATTGGTTTTGTAAACTTCTTTGCTCTCAATTCATCTGGACCGTCTCTGTCACCAGTATATTGTATTTGTACAGTACCAACAGTTGAAATACCACCCATAAAGTCTTCTGAGTCAGCAAATGGAATGCCAAGCCAAAAGTTTGAACGGTCTCCATTTGTATATTGAGTTTTTTGACCTCCTGTATGAGTCCATACTTTCACATATGGCATAATAGAACTTTGCATTTCAGGGTTAATAGTTGTTGTGAAGTTGTTGTTAAAGTTCATAGCATCTAATGTCAAGTTGTATGACCTCATATCCTCAACTGTAGAATATTCTTCTCTTGGATAATATTTGCCATCTATGTTTATATGATATTTAATACCGGGGTTGTAGAAACAAGAATAGTCATTTATAGTTCGTCTGAACAGTACAAACATAGTATCTGCATGTTTCATTGCAGTTGTTAAAGCAATATCTGTTCTTGCACCTGGGTCAGCACTTTGGTTTCCAACTTCACCTGCAAAGTCTTTGACAGATATTTGGTGTATAGGGAACATAAGTGGAACTGCAATATATTTGGCAGCTAAAGCATTTGAAATATCTGGGTCCAACATATAGACTGCAAGTCTGCTTTCTATTCTCTTACATTCAAATTTTTCGCATGTGAACTTAACTGGGTCCCAAGCAGTTCCAGCAGCATTGAAATAATAGTTTACTTCATTGTTGAAGTTTGAGAAACCAAAGTCTAAGTCAACTTTGTCTTTGCAAAATTCGGCGAATGACGTTTGATTTGTTCCCTTTACGTCTGTAATAGTGAATGGGTCTTGTGTTGGTGCAATGACTAAGTTATTTTTGCTTGGAGTAAGTTCGATAGAAATTTTTCCTGCCAGTTTGGCAAGTATCTTAAAAACCTGAAATGAGGAAAGATGACAAAGGAACTCTAGTTTCAGTTTTACTTTAGTGGCAGCATTCCATCTGAACCAGAAAGGTTAACATAAACTCCTGGAACGTGGGTCAAGTCTTCTTATTTTCTCAATGGTGGCATACTGGTCTTTTGTTCTCTAGCTTTGTGGTTGTACTGAGTTTCTCAAAGCGAACCATTCATAGTTTGCCCATGTTACTGTTTGAACTAAGTCAGAGTTAGAATATATCTTATATCCCATGAAAACTTCTGGAGCATATTGGTATCCGACATAGAAAATTCCATGCAACCTTTCTTGTCAGACAACTTCAGAAGGTTTTATTTCAATGTCTTGTTCCACGTATAAGAAAGAGTTGTCAATAGAAATTATATGAAACCTGTCGCAAGCAATATCTACTGTTGTTGAAGAACCTTCTCCAAACTCACTACGTTTCCATAAAAACAGCAGTTGTATATTCGTAAGTTCAGGAACTATTTCTGACCTTCTAATGCATTGTCGCATTCGTTATACCATTCGGAAACATTTCCATTCATGGCATCCAAAACTGTTGGCGTTATATTCTGAGCGGCGTACATTTCATATGGGTAAAAATATAGAATAGTTGGGTTTATGTGTCATAATAGAACCCACGTGGACCAAGCTTTACTTTCTTCCTGACTGAGTTTTAATCTTCTTTTTCCTTCATTGCCACTACTTTCACTAGATGAAGTTACTTCTTCACTACTTTCACTTTGTTCTACTCTTCTTCTTTGGTGTCGCTTTGGTAACTTGCCCTCTGCTTCAAGTTGTTGCATCTTTGCCTCATGTTCACCTAGTATGTTGTAAATTTCCCATGTCCTTTTTGCCTTTGGGCTCTGGTCGCCCATCTCAGGTAACCTATATCCTAGAAAGAGTTTGTCATAGTTTGTATTTGAGTCGTCGCGTATTGTTTGCATGACTCTTTCCTGAGTTTCCGTTCAAGCTCTTCAAACAGTGCCTGTCCATATGGAATAAGCTCGTTTCCAAATATATGTTTTTGTAGCCATTCTGGTTTCTTTCCATGTTACCAACTATATCTTTTTGTGAATGGGAAAGCTTTTACCCAATCTTTCAGTCTTGCGTCGTTTATTTGTAGTTGGTTTTTTTTGTCAAGGAACATGTTTTTCATACTAACATTTATTTGGTACTGTCCATTTGAGTTTTCTTAAATATTCATCCTTCTCGGTTCATTGTCTGCAAAGTAAGTTTTTATGACATTTTGTAAACTTTCGTTTGCAAGGTCATGTACAATAGGTTCTCTTCTTTCTCTCCTAACTGTCTTTCTAAACTCTTCACCAAATATACCATCTCTATGGTTCTGTGTAGTTCTTTGAGATAAATGTTCTAGAACGTCAGGTGTTATATTTCCATCAGCCATGTTCATTTCATACTGGTCCAAAATATCTGCATGTTTCATATCTTTCAATGGCATTAAAGCCGCGCTGAAAATACCAGCTATATCTGGTTCACCATTGACTTCCATTGCGTCTACAACTTCTTGGAATTGTGGTTGTAAGTTTATGAAACCTATCCGGGTTAGCTTTATGACCCCATCTCATTGTAGTTCCATCGTCTGCAGAAACAAAAGTAGGTTTGTTTCCATCTTGGTTAGGTTCTGAATGAACTTTAAACAATGTTTCATTTCTATATGTTTTCTTGAAATTTAACCTTTTATTTTCACCGAGTTCATCCGAAGATTGAACGTTAAATGCTCGTAAGTAAAAAGGGTTGTTGTATTTGTGTACATTTTCTTTCAGTGCTTCCATTCTATGCTGAATATTTTCATCTGGTGTTGGAGTCTTTTGTATGTCGGCAAACATTTTTCGATATTCTTCTACTATGTCAGCCGAATTTTTTTTAGACTCTTGGAAATATTCCATATTCTCCGCATACTCTTGTTGAGGTCAAGATTTTTCGGCTGTTCCAAATCTTCATCTAGTTCTGTGAAGTTAGTTTCCAAAGGAGTGACTTGTTCGTTTCCTTCAGGCTCTTCTAGCTGTTGTTGCTGAACTATTTCTTCCATGTCTGGTTGTATCTGAACTAGTTCTTCCTGTGGAGTTTCTTGTACCTCATCTGCTGGCATTTCATATATTCCGAGACCGTTTTTAACAACTTCCCTTTCTAAGTCATCCGGACTCATAAACCTTTCTTCTTTCGTTCCGTCTCTATTTTTTACGCGTTTCATGACGGGAGTTGAATTGTCATTTAGCTCTGACATCAAATATCTCGGAGTAAATTCATCCATGTCATTTGGATGATATGCTATTAAATCATATCCCTTAGCGAGCTTGTATTTTCCAGGTTTGAAATTATATCCCATTTGGTGCTGAACCATAAAGCTAAATAGGTTCGGGTCAGCATTTCCTTCCTTGAACTTTCTAATAGCTTCTTTATATCTGTCACTAAAGTCAATACTATCTGGGTAACCATAGTCTTCCTTAAGCCTTTTTAAGAATTCTTGGTTTCCTTGTTCTCTACTTCTTTTATGTCCTTGCTCTGGTTGTGGAGGTGGTTGTTGTGCAGGGTTTTGAACTGTTGGTTGTTGTGCAGGGTTTTGAACTGTTGGTTGTTGTGCAGGGTTTTGAACTGTTGGTTGCTGTGCTGGTTGTTGTGCTGGTTGTTGTGTTGGTTGTTGTGTTGGTTTTGGTGCATGCCTGTGTCTGTGTCCATGTGACGATGTAAATGTTTTAGGTAGTCCTGGTGCAGGTGCTTCTCTTGGAGGGTTTGGTGGTATATAAATTCCAACAGCTGGTATATAAGTTCCACCAGCTGGCACATATATTCCATCTGCAGCGTAATGTCCTACCTGACTTTTCGTTTTTAAGAAAGCATTTACTAGGTCTGTTTTGGTCTGTTGTAACTCTTTTTCTTGACTTTTCACAACAGTTGCTCTAACGGCGTCATAGGCACTTTGAACTGCCTGTCTCGTTGCTGCATCTGTTATTTTCGTCATATTTTGTGCTACTTCTTTTAACTCTTTGTCGAAACCTTCAGACTTCAGTTTCTTTCCAGATGAGGAGTCGTTCACTTGTTTCACCTTACTATGAAGAGCTTCGAAGGCGTTCTTAAAGTCAGCATTTGTTAAAGTTTCATTTGAACTGTCTTCATCCGCTTGTATTTTTGTCCTTATTGACCCTATAAGCTGGGCTGCTTTAGCGTTGGCTTGGGCATCTAACCAGTCATTGTTAGCTTTTATATATTCTGCGCTTTTCATTGCCTTTTGCATGGCTGCGTCGTTATTTTTACTTTCTTGTGCTAAGTTTTCATACTGTACGGTTTGGTTTTGCAACTGTAAAAGTTTTTCTGCCTTTACATTTGCTTCAACTTCCTTTTTATACTCATCGCTATCCATATATGTCTTCAGGGCTTTTTGTTTTATCTCTTCATCTTTCAGTACTTTATATCGAGTAGTATGGTTTTTCAAATTTACAACATCTTGTTCCATTTTTGCTACTTCTGCTGCTTTTTCTGACACTTTTTTCGCATATTCCTCTGTACTTAGTTCTTTCAGTTGTTCTTCTTTCTTCTTTTTCTCTACGTTTAACTCATTGAGTTTCTTTGTGTGTCTGTCATATTCTAGTTTCTTTTCGTTTTCACTTATTTGCTTCTGTATGTCTATGTTTGACTTTTTGACATCTGTTATTTGATTTTTGAGTGAACTCAAATTCATTTGACTTTGAGGGTTATATGCTGTTCCGTCTGCAGCTCCACCATAGCCTGCCATTTTCGCTAAAAGTGCCGCTCTTAAACCTCCACTCTGTGCACCAACAACTCGGTTTAAAAGCATAGGATTGCTTGACATTTGTTGCAACATAGTGGGGTCATTCAGCATTTGTTGTTGCAACTGTTGTTGTGGTGTTAGTCTTACTATTGGATGTTTCAATGCTCTCTTCCTCTTACGTATATTCTTACGTAGCTTACGTGGCATTTTAAGTGAAGTTAAAAAGAGGCTTTTGACAGATGTTTATATGAGACTTTCTCCGGTTTATAGGACCTCTCTCATATTCTATATTGTCAAGACTTCCTGGAGTGTTGTCAAAATGTCATGTTGTCACACTTTTTCAGAGAAGTTAAAATGACCGAGGGACCGAGGGACCGAGGGACCTGGTGACGTAGCGACGATAGACCCTTACTTGTCCGGACATAGTTCTACTATTTTGAGTCCTCTACAAAAAAGTCAACAGCAACGACTTTCAAAAAATTTTAGGGGCTAGAAGGGCGCAGCCCTGGAAGCCCCAATACCTTTTTTTTTTTTTTTGGTATGTAGATGTATTAAAACGATAAAAAGAAGATTTTATTTTCAAACAAAAAATTAAACAAAAAATCTAGTTAGATGGAGTACCAAGGTAGCGTGATGGAATGTCTTCAAAGCCGGGTGGATTGTTCTTGTACCAACGATAGAACTTCCATTCAAGACCAACAAACTGGTCTCGGATAGCACAACCTGAATTCATAACAATGCGAATGTCGTAGTTACCTTTGTTGTACATCTTCTTCTCTGTTGTGAGAACTTCGATGTCATCTTCTCGACATTCATATTTATCACTTAAAGAACCCCCAACAAGTTCATTGTTAATGTATAATTGTGCACCAAGTGATGATGACAACTTAAACTGTAAATATGTGTTTTGTGGAACGTAAAGAATAGAATTAAGTTCAATTGTTGAATATGATTCATAAAATTCATGCATTGAGAAGTCAGGATATGTTGCTGATGCATCTATTCTTGATGTGTTATAATATGACTTAAATGAAACTCCTCTACGACCTTCCGGAAAAACAAATTTAGAAGTATCTTCACAAAAGATGTTAGAATCGAAACTTGTGCAAGTGCAACCAAATCCATCTGATGTTCTTCCATATTCTGGTGTTCCATGTTCATTGCAGTATGCATCTGTTTGGAATTCGCAAGTGTCTGAGTAATATCCTGGCAAACAATCTTGAGTTTGGCAATCCATTAATGTAGCAACGCTACTGTCAATAATGACATCATTAAGTTTAGCATTGATGCCACTAGGTATACAGCTTCGAAATTGCCCTATTTGAAGAGGATAACATCTGTTTGCATAAAGTTTTATATTTTGTTTAGTATAGTATTGATTTCTGCCTTCGCAGTAACCATATGTCTTTTCTTCATCTCCTAAAAAGTCGAAATTTATATAAAGAGTCGGTTTTCCCCAAGCTTCAAATTTATATTCACCAGTTTGTTTTGGACAAAATGATCCGGATACCCAGCAAATTTGGTTGATGTGTATGTCGGAAAGTTCATATTTTGTGAAGTTTCCTCTGTCTTCGACTTCATCATCAAAGTCGTAGTATTGCCAAAGATACTTGAGTACTCCAGTAGCTCCATTGCTTTTATATGAACACTTATTAGTTATGAATGTACTAATCAAGAAAAGCATTGAAAACGATTGAAAAATGATGGCATTTTGCATCATACTTTTGATGTAATTTTTTCATTGATTTCGGAATATCATATAATTACTTGAGTATTTATTTTTCAATATCCAAATTGAGAGACAATTAGCAAATTGAGATTGAACCCGACAAAGTTAACCCAAAAATTAAGATGTTTATTATTCACTCTAAGTTCAGAAAATCAAATTTAAAAAGAAGAAAGAATTTGGAAATCATAAGATTCATTCAAAATTTGAAATCATAAGATTCATTAAAAATTCATATAAAATTAACATTCCAAATATTAGCATTCCAGAATATGACTAAAACAGTAATCTATTTGAATGGATAAAAATGTCGATAACTGAAGTCAAAATCATTTATAAATAAAGCAGACGCCGTGTTAAAGATCTAAGATATCATGTTTTAGACTAATTCGCGTTCAAACTTTGTTAAATGTGTTAAATTGTGCGCAGAACTAATCTAATGAAATAAGGAAGTCCTCCGACCAAACCGTAAATAATTTTATATCCTTTTTATACGATATCTAATGGAGTTCAAGAGAAATTTTTAAAAAGAATGACACCTTGGGATCTTTTCTATGTGTTTACAAATTGTTGCATAATAAATTTTTTATAACGTTTTTGAGTGAATTTTTCAATGACCGTTGCAATCAAAAGAAAGAATCTATGGGTTTTGGTGCTTTTGTTGGTATAGCCTTTGGGTTTTTCATAATCTTTTTTGGAATCTTTGTAGTTATATTACTTTGCAAAAAGGGAATTATCAAAGGACCATGCACTCCTAAGCATCTTCGAGAATCTTCAAGTTCATCTTCAAAGTCGAAGAAAAAGAAAAACAAAAACATTACTGTTACATCTCAACAAAACTATCCTCAGCAAGGATACCCACAACAACCTGGATATCCTCAGCAGCAAGGTTATCCTCCTCAAAACTATCCATCTCCTCCAGGATATCCTCAAGACCCTTACCCGCCTCAAGGGAACTACCAGCAACAACCAGGATATCCTCCTCAACAAGGGTATTATCCACCGCCAGCTCAAAACTACCCGCCACCAGGATATCCTAGTGATCCTAACAATCAAGTTCCTCCATCTCCCTATGCTCCACAGAATAATGGTGCTCCAAATTGAATTTTATAAAATAATGTTATTTATGCATTTTATTTTTTTTTTACAACATTCTTTTTGTTGATTTAAGTTGTATTTTACTGGAATATGGCATATATTTATAAATCCTAAAACAATAAAATCCCCAAAATGACAATATCTATTGGCTTTAAAGGCATTATCGTTTATTATAAGGGTTTCGTTTTGCGAAAAAAACGTACAATACGCAATTTCGCTAAAAAAACATTTAGCTAGCAATTTCGACCTTTGACTCCACTCAAGACGTCACTTTTTTAATTTTGCGGTATCATATTTTTGGAAAATCTTTATGAATATTATATAAAAAGTCTCTTTAATATCTATATTTCATATTTTTATCGATTTTTAAAGTTTTTGCGAAAAGTATTCAATTATTTTTGCTATTTGGTCGGGTAAATGTCAGATTTGCGACATTTTCTGATATGATATTCAGATTCTACGTTGATAATGTAATAAACAGAAATTCATCAAAAGTGACAGCTCTCAATTTTTTGACATTTGTAAATTCTAAATTGAATGAGAAAAATGAAATAATACTAAGCATAATACAATATTCTAGATTTAATTATAATTAGGAAAAAGTTAGTTTTGAGAGTACTTTTCATAGGCATATAGAATGAAATCTTCTGAAAAATAATATCACATAAACTCATATTATTTTCTAATATATAACTATTTTATATAAAAATCAAATTCAATGATCTTAAAAGCGAAGGATAAACCTCAAAATTTACGAATATAATGAGTGGGAATATAATGCTTATCTATCATAAAACCATATTAAATATCAATTTTTGCTTTACGCCTAATTTTTGACGACAATTAGCAAAAATTGTTAAATGTTAACACTCAGTCCATTTGAATATGAAAAATAAAATTGACTTTGATTAAATGTTTTTATTTATCATGCAATTCTTCTTGCGACCAAAGATTTGAATAAAAGTTCAAAAAATAAGATAGCTTAAAAAATAATATACGGTAGTGTTTACTAATAGATGAATAGTATATAAATTCTATTAAAATGGATTTGATCCAAAAAAATATATAAAATTTGATCATAAATAAAATCGTTTTAAATTACTTCTTCATTTAAGGGTGCCCTATAGACGATAGACCACCCTCAGAAAAGCACTTTTAAGGCTATTATATTGAGAACTAGAATCTGGATAATCCATTCATTCGAGTTCTAATAAGGTTAATTTTGTGATGTTTACATTATCGTTATAGGGCACCCTTAAATTATAACAATTATTTTTGGTTTTATATTTTTTTGGATCAAATCCATTTTAATAGAATTTATATACTATTCATCTATTAGTAAACACTACCGTATATTATTTTTTAAGCTATCTTATTTTTTGAACTTTTATTCAAATCTTTGGTCGCAAGAAGAATTGCATGATAAATAAAAACATTTAATCAAAGTCAATTTTATTTTTCATATTCAAATGGACTGAGTGTTAACATTTAACAATTTTTGCTAATTGTCGTCAAAAATTAGGCGTAAAGCAAAAATTGATATTTAATATGGTTTTATGATAGATAAGCATTATATTCCCACTCATTATATTCGTAAATTTTGAGGTTTATCCTTCGCTTTTAAGATCATTGAATTTGATTTTTATATAAAATAGTTATATATTAGAAAATAATATGAGTTTATGTGATATTATTTTTCAGAAGATTTTGTGTTCTTCTTCAAAATTTTATTTTTTTTATTAAAAAGAATCTTTACAAAATATACATTTACTTTAATTAATATTTAAAAACGTGCTCTATCAAAAGTTCCAAAAATTCAATAGTTTAGCTTTTCTGAGGTGTCACTTTTGATGAATTTCTGTTTACAACAATAATAATGCTTATAGAACCCTCTTGCTATTGTGTCAAAATTGCGAAACCGATAGCAAAAATATCTCGCAATATCAAAATTGAGATATTGAGTGAATTATGCATTATAGAGATTAAAAATCTGATTTGTGAAAACATCTCATCAGTTTCTAGCTAATTCAAAAATCTTTACTATCTTATTCGATTAAAATGAAAAGGGAATAGTTTCATTATGCTTTAAATGACAGCCTTATAATATAATCATAGTTTTCGCTCAATATGCAGCATTTTTTTTCGAAATCTATGGTCAATGTCCTAAATACTGATTGCTTTGCATTCATATCTCTTACATTTTCTATACCCACATCACTATTCATTGCTATTCCTATCTTTTTCATTTTTGTTTGTTTCTCATAATTTCTCAAAAAACACGATAACTTGATATTTGTAAATATCATACTTTATAACGTAAATAAGAACTTGACCTATTAAGAAAAGCAGTAATGAAAAGAAAATCTGAAATTCATAAAAATTACAAGTTTCTGATGACAATTAGCTTAATTAAACCAGGTACAAGATTATATAATTGTATTTTCTATCCAATTATCCATATAATATCTTATCCAGAAAAAATAACTTGATCAATACCAAATGATTTTTTAACTAGTAAATAAAGTATTTTCTTTACACACACATTGTATATCATAGTTTTTTTTTTTGGTTTCGCAAAACATCCAAAAACAAATATGCTATAAAAGTGACAATTTTAGCAAAACGAAACCCTTATTTATTATATTCGTGCAGCGAATGATAGAAATAATATAAAGCCAAATTTCGGGCAAATAAAATGGAATCCGAAAAAGCTAATCATAGAGCAGGCATAATATTTTATAGGATATTAAACAATACTATTGCTGTTTTCATAAATATTGGTCGATAAAAATGCAAGCAACGTGCTGGAATTTTCTTTGCCGGGTCTTGAAAATTCTATGCCTACAAAATTTATTCCATTTTTACTGTTTTGGCTTAGTATCTTTTCTTTGTTTTTTAATAAATTCTCAAATAACGAATTATTCAATTTTGAAAGATTGCCGTTGCTTTGAAAAAACGCATGCATTTTTCTCCATGGCCTTTGTTGGTTTTTACGTTGTTGGTGTTTTTATGGTAGTTTTTATTATATTGGCAATAATTATGGCTCTATGCCGTATGGGAATTATTCAAGGACCATGCACACCTGTTTGGAATCGGAAAAAGAGTTCGAGTTCATCGTCATCTTCTTCAAAGAAAAAGAAGAATGGTCCAATCGTTTATTCAAGCTATCCTCAGGGTGGCTATCCTCAGCAAGGATACCCACAGCAACCATATCCACAACAATCATACCCACAGCAAGGTTATCCACCACAAGGTTACCCACCACAAGGAGGTGTTCCACCACCACCACCACAAGGCTACGCAGGTCCTCCTCCACAAAATTATTCCGCTCCTCCTTCACCACCACCTCCTCCACAAGGATATGCTCCACCACCACAGTAATTACATTTTATGTATGTGATTATCCATTTGTAGATTATAAACTCAAATTTTTAAAATAATATTATTTAATAAAAAAAGCAATAAGGATTTACGTATTGAGTTTTATATTAGGATAAGAATATAATTTAAGAAAGCTTTTTAAAAAAGGTAAAAATAACGAATTTTCAAAATTTCAAAAATTTGAAAAACTAGAAGTAGTCCAAAAGATGTTATTTTGTTGCATGCTAAGTAGTGTCAATGTGTAAACCTCTCAATTTTATCGTCGGGGAAGCAACATAATTCCCTCAAAAATATTGAAAAAATATAGAAAATAAAATGAATTAAGATGTACTTAAAATGAGAAATAGATTATGATATTAGATTTTAGAAAAAACAGACTTTTGATATAACTTTTGAGAATCTCATATAAAAAAAAGCATTTAAAAATAAATTTAAATATCTTATTTATTTTACTATTGTAAATATATTCTGAGATTTTTAGAAAAAAACACTTTTCATAAGTATTCAATATTTGAATACGCTCCAAAAAAGAATAGATTCTTTTATATTCGCTTATATAAAAGGAGACTCTCTATCAGATGCGAATGCCTGAATTCAGCACCTCTGATAGAGAGTTTCCTCTTATATAAGCGGATCTTTTTCATGAGTTATTGTTAATATAAAAACAAAATCTACCAATATGAGAAATTAAACCCTGCGAGGCACCAGTCTAGAACTGGCACTTCGCAGGGTTTAATTTCTCTTGACAAATGACAAAACTTGTTCGCAATTGTGAACCATTGCGAGCAAGTTTGCCAGATATCTGGAAGGAATTGCTCCTTATGATATATGCATTGTAACTGTATATATCATAAAGAGCAATTCCTTCAATTAAACGCAAAAACTTTGGTGCAATCGTTGCTGATTGCACCAAAGTTTTCGAACTTTCCCGAGGGAATTGGAGGGTGAGAGATACATAGTCTATCTATGTACCTCCCACCCTCCAAATCCCACTCTAAATGGGAGAAACTTTGTTCGCATGTTATCTTATTCAAACAAAGTTTCTCCCATTTAGAGAAGGAATAGGAGCCTACCAGGCACTGATATATAATCAGTGCTTTGTAGGCTCCTATTCCTAATAAAAATTTGAAAACTTTGGAGCATTTGATTATTGTATTTTGTCAAGAGAAATTCAACCCTGCGAAGTGCCAGTTCTAGACTGGTGCCTCGCAGGGTTTAATTTCTCATATTGATAGATTTTGATGTTTTTATATTAACAATAACTCATGAAAAAGATCCGCTTATATAAGAGGAAACTCTCTATCAGAGGTGCTGAATTCAGGCATTCGCATCTGATAGAGAGTCTCCTTTTATATAAGCGAATATAAAAGAATCTATTCTTTTTTGGAGCGTATTTTCAAATATTGAATACTTATGAAAAGTGTTTTTCCTAAAAATTTAATATAATGCTTAGCACAATATATAAAATTAAAATATCTATAATTATTTTCTATATCACACTTTTCATTACACCTTGAAAAGTCTTCTCAAACTCTATTTTTAATTATTTTTTAGATATATCTCAAGTGTGATTATTCAAAAACTCATATAGACTATATTTATTTTTTTTCATTCAAAAAATTATATGAGAATCTCAAATTAACTTTCAAATTTTTTATTTTAAAAACATATTAATAATCATATTTTAAGATACTTTTTCGCCCCAAAAAATAATCGAACTTCCTCGACGATTAATAGGATCTCAATTTCTATCGTTGACACTACTTAGCATGCAACAATTTTATTATCAGAAAACAAAAAGTAAATCAATATTTATTATTACTTCCAAAGAAAAAAAAATCAAAAATTATGCTGGAGTTTGTTGTTTTTCTTGAGCAGCAGTTCTTTCCTTCCAAACTTCCAAGTTACTTCTAATCTGATCAACGTTACATTGAAGAGGAGGCATAGCTCTAGCAGCTGCTTCAAACAAAGGCAAGCAAACGAAGGTGTAAAAGCCAATTTGAGACTTTGGTTTGTTCAAATGACTTCTATCATTAAGATCTGATGTATATTGCATTCCTTGAGCCATTTCCAAGTCACCTTGTCTAAAGAACTCTTCGCAAAGAACATCGCACCATTTATCAGCGAGTTCGAATGGTCTTGATACATTAGAAATATCAGCGCATTTCAAAATCAATTCCAAATAATAAGAAACGTCATCAGGGTTATCAATACTTAGTTTTCCTTCATCCATGATACCATTTATTTCTTTAAGGAATGTGAAATGCTTCGCCATATCTGTAGCGAGAATCAAATTGATGATTGTCGTCCAAATCTTCTTGTATTGTTCTGCATTTAATTTTGCAAAAATATTCGTTTCTTCTTTGGAAATAACTGAAATTGCCATGGCGCAATGATGTGTTTCCATGACTGATTGGTTCTTAAACAAAATACCTAATGGCGTCTCTGCTTTAACATTATAAACATTTGTGAAACCATCGTGATTTGCATCATGACAAATTGCAGCAACTAAAAGTGCAAAAATGTCAAATTTTGTCAGTTTTGAGACAATTCCTGATGTTTCTAATTCGAATGTTACATATTGTGTAACATCTACTGCATGGCGCCAGTTGTGGTAAGGAACTTTCTTGTATGTAGCAGAAATTGCCGACAAAAATCTGAAGAATTTTTCATTGGAAATGTCAAATTCTCTCAATAAATCGAAATGATTAAATATTCCGAAAACAACTTGGAACCAACCAATTGGGTTATTGTCGTAAGCTTGTGCATCAAACTCTCTACAGATGAAGACCTTCTCGTCCATCTTAAGCTTCTCAGGTACATTGTAATCAGCTCTTTCTTCTGGTTTGATCCAATCTTTGATGCCTTTTTCGATTGTTCCCAAAGTTGCAATTTCTCTTAATTCAGATCTTTCGAGAGAAATTGCTGCGAAAACTGCGAAACAATCAATGAGTTTTGCATCTTCCATGAGGATCTTTGAATTACTGGAGATCTCCATGACGCCAATGAACTTTCCACTCGTAGTTAATAATGAGAAAATAACAATAGATTCTCCATTTTTCATCGCAGAAGAAACAGAGTTTGTACTTGTCATCGATGAACTTGAATTTCCATCGAATAAAACAGAAACTCTGCTGCTGGAACTACTCGATCTCTTTGACATTTTAAGAGATGTTCCGCCTTTCTGTGATGTTGTAGCGGCCAAGGGATCATTGGATTGTTCGCAGGCAACGATTTCTTGGACTTCTGTCTCATTGAAAATCGTTGTTTTCATATATTGCTTCATTTGAGAAGCAAATAACGTTCCGTGATTAATAGGATCGCCAATTGACTCGAAAGGTGTTAATGAACCATCTTGTTCTGATAAGAAAATGGTTGCTCTGGCAGCGTGAACAACAACTTTGGCTTGGGAAAGAATTTCGTTGATAACTTCGTTAATTGACTTTGTCTTGTTCAAAGATGCGGACAAATCAACGAAAGAACGAAGTTGTCTCGTGAGATCTAATGATGCCTGGTACAATCTGGCGTTATCCAGTGAAATACCACAGAAAACGTTGAATGCAACAACCATTTTAAGGTCTTCATCATCGAAACAGTCGCCATCGATCTTGTTGATCATTTCTGTGACACCAACAATGTCATTCCTGTTGTTAAAAATGGGAACAGTCACAAGATTTCGAGTATGATATCCTGTCTTCTTATCTACGGACTGATCGAAACGTGGATCGGCATAAGCATCAGGAATATTGACGATATTGCCGGTAGTTACTGTGTAACCAACGATACCTCTGGACATAGGAATTCTGATTGACTTGTTGAGGCCTCCTTGGAATCTAGTGATGAGCTCTTTCTTCTCATTATCAACAAGGAAGAGAGAACAACGCTCTGTATGAAGGAGTTGGCAAGCTCTCGTCATAATCATCGGAACAAGGGTATCAATATCGAGAACTCCTGATAGGGCTTCGGCGACTTCAAGAAGAGCTCGAAGACGCTCGGCAAGTAAATCTCCGGCTTCGGCCGGATCTCCATCGGAAGTAAATGCGCGGCCAATGATTGAAGAAAAGCCATTGAGTTTGGCGCTATCTGATGTATTGAAAGCGCCCTTCTCTGGTGCACGAAGAACAATGGCGTAAATGCAATCATCAGCAATAATCGGTTGAACTAAAATTGGAACATCCTTGTTACCATCGATGTGCTCATCGTAGCCTTCTGCAGAAAGAATCCTTTCTAAGTTTAACTGAATCTGGTTCTTTAAAGCAATTGTTGCGATACCAGCTGTTCCTTGCAATTTTTCGAATTCCTGCTTCTCGCGATTGTATACTGAGTAGCTCTGATCGGCTGCTGTGTACGCGTAGATGTCTACTTTCTGACAAACAAAGAAATGTCTTAATTTGTCAACAACAACTGTAAATGGATTCGAACCTTTCTTGATTTGAGTAAGAGAGATTGGGAATAATGGATCAACTTCCGGTTGGAACAATAAAGTTGAATAAGTCCGGAATTTCGCTGCAAATTTCATCAAATGCTCGATTTCTTCAGATGAGAACATCGGAGAATCTGCTCTGCGTGTAATTTGAACAATTACGAGAACTTTGTTACGACGATCGGTTAAAGGAAGATATAATAACGAACAATTAGATTCATCAATCATAGGATCGTAAAAATCGTGAATTGCTGGATTAGGACAAGCAATAATTTCTTTTGTTTTGTAGCAAAAGCTTAAAACGGAATTCTGATAATTTGTACTTTTTGTTAAAGTTGGAGAGTATAAACGCTGTGATTTTTCTCTGTCAAACCATGCAAAAACGTGTTGGCATGGGATATAGTTCGCTAAAGCTAACTCAATTGATCCGGCCAATGAATATTTTTGAGAAAATTCAAAAAGCTTATCCATTGTTTTTCCAGGCGATGTTTTAATTTCTGTTTTATGTGTTTGTAGCGATGATGTTGTGCCAGCTTGTTTTGGTTGACCTTTAACAACAGGAATTATATTTAAAGCATATGGATTGTATTTTCTTGGATTTGTGCTTGCCAAACGTGAAGAGGAATTACCGGCTTGTGGTACGACACCATATTTTCTTGGATCAATACCATAGTGTCCGCGCCGCATTCTTGAATTATTTTTTCCTCAGAATTTAAATAACGAACAATTGTATACAAATCTTTACAATAAGAAATGGTTGTCACTAAATTAGTGTTCTTTTAATACATTAAATTTCTTGATTCAATAGATGTAAATCTATGAAAAGTGCCGAATTTTTTTATATCATCGAAGTTTGGAAAGGATATTATTCATTTCTAGCGAAAACAAATGCAGTATGGTCTATACATAAAGATATTACATGTTATGGGAATACCTTCCAACTCATATTGTTTCATATGGAAATTATATTTACAATATTCCGCATTCAAACCAATTGAAACCTTTTGCCTCCTAGATGGATATACTATACCTGCTCTGAAAACTGTAAGAACCATGTTATCCACTGAAGATAAGTTCAAATATGCTTTAAATATCTGTATCTAACTATAGTTTAAATAGTTCATATTAATATGATTAAAAATATTGTTAATTTAAGATACAGGAAAAATACAAACAAATTTTTATTCTCCATCACTGCTTGATGATAATAAATTAGCGAAAAAGTTTTGAGATTCTTGTATTAACTGGTCTAGTTTCCTTGTCAATACGATTTTTGGTTCTTCTTGGTCAGAATCCGATGAAACATCATCGAATTGACCAATGAATGAAAGAGATGCGTCCAACTCATTCTCTTCCATTTCATTACTTGGTATCCTATCAAAAACAGTTTCGAAATGAAAATTATTTTGATATGGATACATCATATCTAAGAAATGTGAATGATGTTCTGTATTTCGTGGTTTTTGACAAGGTTCTTTATCAAATATATCGAAAGTATCAATATCTAAGTTTAGTTTTTTCGGCGGCTTCCAACCATTTTTAATTGCAATTTTTTGCCAGATTTCTCGTATTTGTTCTGTTGTTAGAACCATAGGAGTATGTACTTCTTCTTGAATTATTGATTTTTTAATCATAATATCTGTCGCTTTGATAGTTATTGGAGTAATTGATGGTTCAAGTACTTGCAAACTATTTAGACTTCCAATACAAAGTGTGGACATGATAGTTCCGCAAGGAGCACTGTTTCCTAAACGTATAAAGCGAATATCTTCATGATTTGCTATATAATTCACAGAACCTGGAGATTTCTGCTTAGATGACTGTGCGAAAGCGCTAGCTACTTGTTTTTCTCTTTGATCATTAGTATATAATGCGATATCCAAATAGAAATGTGATAGGTTAGGTATGATTTTGGAATCTGATAAGTCAATCATGTATGCCATTTGAAAATCCACTTGATTTGTTGTACAATATACAATATTAGACTTCAATTCTTCGAGTTCATCGTGAATTTTAACTGATAATGAGAGATGTTTGTAGCTATATTTATTTAATTGTCTTGCTGAGCGCAATACGACAAGCGCATACATTTCTTCTTTCTGTATTATCTGGCTTGATGCTCTCCCCATACGCGCCAGTGATCGGCGGCTTGATGGAGGAGTATAGTCTCTTCCATACATCCGATCGGGATTTTATAGTATAATTATTAATAATTCCGTAATCAATTCAAAATTTAACTTGTTTGATATATTTACACGGATTATTAATAAATCGACTCGATTTGATATAAGTTTGTTATATCAATGATTATGGATCCTCATATCTTACAGTTCAAAATCTTTCATATAAATACTTGTTGATTTTAATTATTGAGCTATTGGATTGTTCCTGATTTGTTATTTTATGAATATATATATTTCACACGGTGAAATATCCGAACTCCTATTTAATTCTTCATTTGGAAACTAATGAATCGATGCGAAAAAATCCGGGAATGATAAAAAATGTCAATTTTTTGAGATGCTTCGCTTCTGTACAGAAGGAGGACCTTTAATTGATTACGTTTTTAACATCATTGTATCAAAGGCTGACACGAAATTCGATGTAGCTTTCGAACAAGTTTATCCAAAAGAACCTGCAGATCCAAAATTCGTTAATACTTTCAAGGTTTTCGTATATCCTGATGCAAATGCTATAGAATCGAACTCATTTTTCAATTTTATTATCGGCGATACAGCTGTTGATTTCAATCACGGTTTTATTAAATATGATAATAATACAACTGGTCGCTGTATCATTTCTAAATATTACTATCCGACACTATTCAAGAAACTACTTGTGTCACATAAAAATGATTTGCAGGATATCGCAAAAGTTTTAGTTGTTGAGCCAAATCAAACAGAAATCAACGTAGACGGAAAGGACTACCAGCTCAGTGGCGCATCTGAGAAACAAAAGTTACTTAAGATCATATTCAAGACATTTTCTCCTTTCGAAATTTCAAAAATTATTATTAATATGCTCGAAGCTCGTCACATCTTCCCTATTTCACTAAATCTCTCGAAACTTAGCCGTGCCGTTGCTGCTTTACCTCTTCTTATTGAGCCTTTCCGTTGGAATATGAATCAAATTCCAGTCCTTCCAATTGCCTTAAAAGATGCAACAAATATTCCTGTTCCGACAATGATTGGTATCTCAGATCCGACAATTTTACTTGAAGGAAGAATTGATAATCACATTTTAGTCAATTTAGATACGTTTTGCGTTGTCGAAAACCCTCCTTTCAACGTTGATTCACCAAAAGCATTAGATGTACTTACATTACAGCTTGGTTTCCAAAACCAAGTCACAGATGAATTAAAACATTGGGCAAAACTGAAATCTTTCCCTCACAAACATATCCAGAAAATCATCAGATTATTTATCAGTGAGTATTTGATGATTTTTACGGGCCGCGTAAGAAATGTAAATGATTTTGTCGCTGCAACGTCGAAATTCCCAGAAGCATTAGCAGAAAGCCAAGTTATCCATGATTTGGCCCAATTGGATGCTCTTCCACCACAAATCAAGTCAAGATTTAATGACTTTTTCGCCGAAATCTTCAATGGCTCTGCTCCTCAAGTTAAATTGTACAAATCACCGTCATCATCTTGCAAACAAAATGCCATGAGTATAAGTCCAAGTAAACCAGAATTGGTCAAACAACAACCAGATTTACTTGGAATTTCGGATGGCCAATCAGACAATGGCCAGACAACAGCAGAAGCTCCTCAGCGTAGTAGCAGTATGTCATTCAACCCATTTTTTGACATGTCCACTCCTGCATCTACTCCATCTAAAGAAGAGACAAAGGCAGTTGGTTTCGGACCATTCGCAAATCAACAAACTACTCAACAGGCACCAGTAAATGAGGTTACCGACCTGTTTGCACCTGGTCCAGCAAGAAATTCGGCTGATTTATTCGCTCCTGCTCCTTCTAACGATTTATTCGGCCAAACAACGCCTGTAAAAGATATTTTCCAGCCACAGCAACAATCCACTCCTATTAATGACTTATTTGGCCAAACTCCACCAGCAAATAGGAGTCCATTTGCTAGCCAGCAAACAGCAACACCAAATAACAATCCATTTGCTAATACATTCGTGAAAGATCCTTTCTCGAGTCAAAAAGCGCAAACTCCAGGAAAAGATTTCTTTGGAATTTCGAGTTCTCCTGTTCAGCCAAGAAATCAGCCGCAAGTATCAATGACTCTAGGTAGAGAAGATAATAAACCTACCTTCATTTCATTTGATGCTCAGCCAAATTCGATGCAAAAATCTTCTTCAAATACTTTTGATCCATTTGCTGACTTTTCTGCGGGCCAAGGCAATATGAATCCATCGCCAAATAAGTCATCAAATGCATTCGATCCGTTCATAAGCCCAATGGTTCCGAAAACAAAGAAACCAGATAGAAATTCAAATAATTTCGACTTGTTCTCATGAAACAATCCATTTTGACGTTCACTCGTGATATCACATCTGTTACTTAATAAAAGTATTTATATATTAATTCAATCACATGAAGTCAAATATTTTATAGTTTTTTTATCTAAATGATTTATCATGAATGCATGCTAAAGTGTCTTTCTATTCAAATAAGTCCATTACTTTTATATCCGAAAGTTCACCAAAACAATTTTGCTCTGAAAATGAAAAATTAATTGTTTCGTGGCTCATGTTTATATTCATGTGGCCAATGCTATTAAAACTCAATTGTTATTTGATTTTATTTAAAGCATTGTTGGGAAGAAGATTGTATGAAACACAGTGAGATCAAATGCAATTCAGAATGAATTCATTGTTTTCAGATAAATCCTCATGTGCGATTATATTGTTTTCAGATAATAAGTATGATGATATGAGATTTGTGTCTTGAAAGTAGTCTCATCATTCGTAATTTTTTTGAATTTATCGAATCTGAATTTAATTCGTAAATATTCGACTTTACTATATCTATATGAGTATTTTTAGGCTCATTGCGAAAATTGATACGAGTTTTCAAATTTCACGTGTAAAAAAGAAAATGATGAGAATAGTATATTGAATCAAATTTAGAAGCAATATAAAAAGCCTGCCATCATGTCGGCACTTTTTGAATTCGACCATTTATTCAATTCCGAGGACGATAGATCCGGCCAGAAAAATTATTTTCACTTGGCCAAGTGAAATCACTATTTCCCAGCCAGTGAGGATTAGTACATACGACCACTACTAACAGGAAAGAGACAACTCAACACAACGAATCAATATATATAGCAAATTACTTGCAATCATTAATTCACACGTTTAAAATTTCATATCAAAATTAATTTTCAAGGAATGAAAAAGTTTAGACCATGAATCATTGATTCTTACAGCATTTTAATACACATACAAATAGAGATTTCTTACAGTTCACGATAGCCATATCTCCAAAAAAATTATCTTTTGTCAGGCCAAGAAAATAACAGTAAAAAAGCAAAAAACGCGACGAGATAAGAAAAGAAAGAATATTTAAAAAACACCATACTGATAATAATTATCGATAAGGCATTCAGCGTAAGAGCAAGACTCGTCTTCGTCCTCACTTTCGAATCCCTGGGCGCCCTCGCGGATGTGGAAGAGGAGAACCTTGCGTGCCTTATCGTTTACAAACAAAAAAACCTTACTCCACAACGCTCCGTTCTCAGTAAAAACATCGGAGCATGTTGGCTCGTAAGCATATATATCGCAGAAAGCCGGTGAGACGTCATTTTCGATGGCGTTCCACAGGTGGGCCGATAACGCTTCGTTATCAGGCAAGTACGACGAGACGTTCCAGGAGATAGTTGATCTGGCCTGTTCCGGCGTCGCAATTCTCTGAAAATGCTCAGGAAGCAAAGTTGAGAATTCATAATCTGGGAATGAATTCTCGAAGGCCTCCTTCATAGCTGTAAATTGATCCTTATGAGGTGTGGCACGTATTCGAAGCGGGCTTTCGCCTCGACTTCGATTCCGACTACTTCGAGCTAGATTATCATCTGAGATACCTGCATTTGAGATTGTTGAGGGAAACTGGAAACATTCTACTTTTCCATATATATGCGATCCACTGCTGCATGCTGCAGAGAGTTCCTGATTGACGTTGAGAAGATAACGGGAGTTGATCCACTTCATTATAAGTCCTACCAATGTTCAGAAAAAGTGGAAAAACGTCCTTCCCTAAAATCTTTGAACAATGTTTGTGTATTATTATAAATACTATCTAGATTTAAATTTTTGCACTGCCCATCATTTCTTTCAATTTTTTGAAAAGTGTAAAATTTTGATAAAAAGATTTACATATTTTTACATGTTTTGGATAATACTACTTATTGTGTTTTTATCAAAATTTCTATCGGATTTGAATTGATCGCTCTATATATTTTTTTCATTTATTTACGATCCATCTTAAATTACAATCAGCGCATCTCTCCTGAATTAAGTGATTACTTGTAGCATATTGAATAGTTTAATCAAGTCGATTTTTCATTTGTAGCATTTTTTACTTCGATAATTCTATATAAAATTGCCAAGTATTGATATGAATTGGTACGGTAAATAGAATGTTAATATACAACTCAAATATAAAGCGTTCGTGTAAAATCTCTATCAAAATCTTGAATAATTTTTGTTCGTTCGAATATTTTTAGTTTTGATATCAGCCATAACTGTATCAATCTACCTGTTTGCTAGTAGTTATTACAAATTTTATCATTAATCCAAAAATCTTCGATGAATAAAAACTCTATCAAACAAATTTTTACAAAAATTATAGCAAAAAAGCTACTCTTCATCTTTCATGCCATGGAATAACGGAAGGTTGAGTATATCCAGAACTGTTGGCCTCTGCTTTGACTCCGTGAAGATGCAACTTTCAACTAAAGAAGAAATTTCAGGGTATTTCGCAGAAAACTCGGGTGGAATCTTACGTGATGATCTAAGATTCCGAATGGATAAGGTTTTCTCCATCCATGTTGTGAATCTTGAGTAAATTTCGAATGCGATTATTCCCAAGCTGTAAACATCATCAGAAGGACCACTATGATGGCCGCTTAATTGTCTCGGTGATGAATAGAGTGGAGTACCTACCTCTTTGACTGTTCTATTCGCTTTTCCGGCCTCTTTTATGATTAATTTATCAATTGGACGTAAAGTGAGGGAACCAACGCGTGGTTGGCTTGCAATTGCATGTTCGTTTTGCTTGCTGTAGTCTTTTTTGCCTTTTATTGATGCAATTCCGAAATCTATTACGGTGATTTTTCCGTAATCGCGAACAATGATATTATTCGGTGAAAAATCACGATGAATAATGTTTTGCGCGTGAATTTCAGAAAGAGCGTATGTTATTTGGTATAAAATAAGCTTTCGTTCTGTATCATCCATATCTTTCTTTTGAAACAGGTAATCGCTAAGTGTAACACCAGGGACATACTGCATTTGAATGTATAACAGTGCTTCCTTTTCATTATCTTTCGATTCTAGCCAAGAACTAAAATATCTAACAATTCTTGGCGAATTCAATGCAGCCAAGCACTGTACTTCTCTAACAGCACTCGAAATTTCGTCTTTTGAGATTCTAACAACTTTCAGAGCGTAGTATTGTTCATCAATGAGATTCAGCACTTTACTTATTTTGCCATAGCCTCCCGAGCCTATGTCACTTATGTGCTGGTAAGCTTGATTGAATGGAGATTCAACTCGTGGTGGAACAAAAGGTAAATCTAAAAAATTTCTGTTTTGTAATTCATCTGTTATTTTAGGTATAAGATCGTCCTCATTAGCTTTATGACATAAATCGGTAATTGTTTGGAGAAGCCATTTAATATCTTCATGATCTGGAGTTGTTTTTTGAAATCCTAATGGATCATCAGATGGTAAATCGAAAGATGTTTGTTTTCTTTGTTGAAATCCTACGGGATTTCCTGGAATCACACCAGCAAAGTTTGTATTGACTGAATTTGGCATTCCTTCAGAGTCATCGTAGGATTGTTCCTCTTCTTGCTTAGTCCCGAAGTCATCCTCGATGTATGAATCTTCAATTTCAATCAATTCTGGGTCGATATCCATAAATTTAATAAGAGGAAAAATGAATTGAAGTGTCAAATTTACGCCTCAAATTATTTCTTGCGATCAATTTTAATCGATCGGAAGATAATCTATGGACAATTTAGAGTAGATTAGATAGAATAGGTAGAGATAATGATATTTTGTTTGCAAACATCAATTATTGACATAAATTAAAGTAGTAGGATATGACGGGTTTAGTGACTTTTTTTGTTACATCTATATATAGACGATGCATTAAAATATATTTATTTATAAATCATTAAAAAAATTAACATTAATTTTAAAATAATTTATTTTTTTATCTTTTATAAAAGAAGCTATATATAGATGATGTCAGATATTCCGCGATTAATTAAACATTGTTTAAATCCTGAATGGGTTAAACTTCAATTTAAAAATGAAGATTGTGAATTATTAAATGAATATGAAAGCCAAAATAAGCTAATGAGGTATAAATATAATGATAAAGAATATTTAATTTCATGGAATCAATGGAGTCATAATCAAAGACCTCATAAACGAGAAGAAGAAATTGAAAATAATGAAATGGAAATCATTGATGACATTAAAGAGGATGGAATTCATATAAAAATAAGAAGTCTGTTTGACCTTAAGAATGATTTATATATAAAAATAAAATAAACTTCTTACGAAAAATTAAAACTTAGTTATGTTTATTATTTTATTTTTTTATTTTGTATGAAATGAGCGTCAAAACTAACAACGTTAAAAAATTAGGATTCACAAACGAGGAAATAAAGGATATATTAGAGTGTTGCATGCTAAGTTCGGTCAACGATAGAAATTGAGTGGAAATTAATCGTCGAGGAAGTGTGATTATGTAAAGTAAAAAAATGTTGTGGGATTTTTAATATTATATATTATTTTATAATAAAAATTTTTTGAGTCATTTTAAGAAGCACATATAATTTTTTGAATTTAAAAATTAAAGTAGTGTCAAACGAATTTATCACTTAATTTAATACTCAGATTTCTTAAAATTAATGAAAAAAAGGTTTTCTGAGAACTTTTGAGAATGGTTTTCAAATTCCATTATTGAAAATATATAGGTATTGTATGAAATTCAAACTCTATATTTATTAAAATTCTAAATTTTTTTAATAAAATAACTTTTCAGAGGAATATGATTTTGAATGGTTGATTAATAAGTATAAAAATGTCTACGATTTTAAGGAGGGAATTGTTCCTTATGAGGAATACATCATAACTATATACCTCATAAGGAACAATTCCCTCTTGATAGCTGGGAAACTTTCTCTGAATAACTTATCATTTGGAGAAAGTTCCCCAGCTATCTATTAGGAACTAAAGGCTATGAGGCACTAATATATAATCAGTGCCTCATAGCCTTTAGTTTCCTATTAAAAACGAGAAAACTTGTTCGAAATGATAAACAATTTCGAACAAGTTTTCTCATTTTAAGGAGGGAATTGTTCCTTATGAGGTATACATCATAACTATATACCTCATAAGGAACAATTCCCTCTTGATATCCTGGATATTTTTGAATATATTTTTTTAATTAAAGTTCTCAAAAGTATTATCAAAAGTGATTTTTTAAAAAATATCTCCAATTAATTAACTAATTAAAAGTATTATATTTTTAAAATTAAATAGTTTTTCAATTTTTTTGAAGGAATTGAGATACTTCCCACGACAACAAAATTGAGAGGTTTACATTATGACTGATCTTAGCATGCAACAAGAGGAGGTGGGTTATGAAGTTAATAAATATTATTTAAGAAATTGTCAAAAATTTGCCGAGTTATTAAATGATTTAGATTATGATGGAAAAATGAATAAAGATGATGTTATAAATTTCTTATATCCTACATCTGAAGAAGAAAAACCTAAAGAACCTGATGTTTTCCCTGAATATTATGAAGAACGGATTAAAGATGATGAATACAATGAAATTGAAAGACTGAAAAAAATAAGAGATGAAATAGATGAAAAAATTAAGGAATTAAGAGAAGTTGAAAAATATAATGAAAATGAAGTAGAGGGTTTAATGAATATCCCAGCTTCAGAATCAGAAGTTCAGAAATCTCATGAAGAAAGATATAAAAATTATGTCTCAGAATCAACACAAAATTTATTAGATGGTGAAATAGACGAAACACTTTCAGAAGAAGGTACTAAATTTATTCGTAAACATAAGTTACAATTTATTGATAATGAGGAATACCCTTGTATCTTACTTTCACCCCCTCTCGATTCTGAGAAATTCAAAAAAGCTCTTAAAAACGTGACATATGCAACTAATACGATTAAGAAAGAAGATCATGATATTTACACAAATTATTATTTAAATAAATGCATAGGTGTTGATAAAGTTTTTGATTTATTAGATAAAATATCAAAAGAAACCATTGGAACCTATAAAATTTTGTGTGATTGTGGTTTCATTGTTGAAGATACCAATAATGTTTCATATGAAAGAACAGCACCGAAGGAAGACGAAGTTGAAAGGTCTATACCATTCGTTATTAAGAACATAAAAGATATGAAAACTTATAAACATTATATTTATTCATTTATTTCAGAAAAAATGGAAGCAACCCATAAAACATCTTCTCATCATTTTATAGCTATTCATACATTCCTTTTCAAAGTTGTGAAATTAAATAAGACAGGAATTAGATTTAATGTATCAGGGTACGCATTCTTGAGTAAATTAAAATGTATTCGTCACGTCGCAGATGATAAAAATTTATGTGTTCTTAATTCATTTTATGGGCTTTAAAAATAAACTTTATTTTTATTTATTTTTTAATTTTTTATTCTTACATAAATGAACAAAAACGGAACAGCTAAAATGAATGATAATCAAATTAGAGCAGAAGGTAGAAGGTTATTTAAACGCTTCTATAACATTCCTGATGGTGTTAATCCTAAAACTCGTAGAAGCTATTTAAATGAAGCAATAGATGCATATGAAGGGTTTAACATTTCATCAGAAAGTGAGAGATTAGCGAGAATGTTAAATGTTAATATTGATTTCTATTATTGTGATCCTCAACCAGAAGACGTGGACATAAATAAGGTAGACTTTCCATTAGTGGAATCAATAATGATAGATCCAGAATTTGAAACAGTAAATATTTTATTAACACAGAGTCCATGTGGAAAACTTCACGCTGACAGAATAACAGACGTTGAAGCACTCACCGGCTATAAAGTTTGTCCATATTGTAAAGAAGAAGTTTATTCTATCCGTGATGATCCAGAAAGGAAAAACCAAAGAAGATTTTTAAAGCATTGTGAGAAATGTAAAGAAAATAATGGGAGATTAATTCAAGACGTTCAGTTGCAAAAGACACAGCAACCATATGCACCACATATTACGAAACAGAAGATATATCAGTGGTTATTAGCTCACAATTTGCAGAAATATTATAAACCGACAAGATATTATATTACTTTTGACTTTGAAACATTAGAGACTAAAGAAGAATTACAACTTTCTGAGTGTGCAACTTTGAACGCTTACTTAAAACCATTCATGGTATCATCAACGGTTAAATTAAACGATAAAACGTATACGAGGAATTTTTGCTTAACTTCGAGTGATTCTTTTATTTCTGATTGGATTGAGTTTTTATTTTCAACCTGTTCATTAGTTGCTAAATCAAATATGAGTCAATACGATGAATTATTGAAGTCGCAAACGGCGGGGACTTTGTCCCATACATTAAATGAAAAACAGAAGGAAGCATTTAAAGAACTTCTAGATGAGGAATTCAATAAAGTGAATATCATAGGTTTTAATTCGGGAAAGTTTGATTTAAATTTAATTCTTCGTGATTTAAACACTGCAAAATGGAAAATAAAATCAATGCTGGGTTCTTCTTCTCAATTTAAGCAAGTCATTGTAAAGAAAACAAACGCTCCATATGAATTGAGATTTATTGACATCAGAAATTATATAGCGGGTGGGACATTAGACCAATTCACTCAAGATTTCGGAAACAATAAATCACGTGTTAAATCCTTTTTCCCTTATCAATTCATCACGTGGGAAAATTACGAAGAAGAATTATATAAAGAGGAACCATTCACGAAAGATTCATTTTATTCAGCATTAACTCAAGAAACTATATCAGATAGTGATTATCAAATATATCTCAATGATGCTAAAAATTTTAAGAATAGATTAGAATATTTTATTCATTATTGCAATAAAGATGTTGAAATTATGATTGACCCAATCGATAAAATTATTGAAGAAACATTTGTTTATAAAATTGATATGCTTCATAATCTTTCTTTATCATCGAATGCTTCAATGATTCGTTACGCTTTAGCATATAAAGACTTTAATCCTAATGAAAAATATCCTGAGGAAGAGATAGAATCAAGTTTTGAATTAACGAAAAAGTATTGGAAATATAAAATTGAATCATATAAGAAACAAGATGAAAAAGCAAAAAGAGATACCAAAAGTAATGTTTCAATGGATGATTTTCAATACTATCACGATTTAATCCTTTCATCTAAATGCAAAATGTGTGGTAAAGCGTTTACATATGTAAATAAACCAACATTGGATAGAATCGATAATGAAAAACCACATACTAAAGAAAATTGTCAGTTAATGTGTTGTTATTGCAATGTCGTGAAATCAAATAAAGATGAAGATGTTCAACGTTTAAGAATCAATTTAAGAAATTATGCATTAAAAAATAATTTACCAATGACTTTAGATTCAATTGAAGCTTATCACATTCTCCGTAATGGAATTACTGGTGGTTTATCAAATGTTCAACATAGAGTAAATATTAAAGGAATCACGCACATTAATAAACTTTCATATAGTCCAGAAACTAAAACTGTATCAAATGAGGACACTTCCAACATTATGACTCATTTCGTTGGTGTTGACTTTAATTCATTATATCCTTCATCATTTTCATCTAATCCTCATGATTTCATTCAATATACTGACCATAAAATGTATATGCCGGGAAGATTGAATGGTGTTATCATTTGTGATACAGCAACAAAGAAAGCAAAAGCACTGGGAATAATTAAGAAGAAAAATACTTTATTCGTGGCTGAAGTAAAGGGTCACATTGATGAAAAATACATTAATGATTACATAAACTTTTTACCGATAATAAGAAACTTAGATATTATCACAGATGAAAAAACAATTGGCAGTTTTATGTATAATTACATGAAATCAAACAATTTACCAGTTGACCAGAAACAGAGGAAATTAACTCAGTTAGCATCAACATACAACCAATATCAACCATTTTCTTCTTATTATCTATGGTATCTAATCGACAGGTTTCATTTTATCATCGATGATATTCAATCAATTTTAACATTTACTAAAAACACTTGTTTTAATGAATTTGCGAACGAATTTATGAACGAAAGACAAAAGGCTGAATTAGAAGGAAATAAAGGAAAAAGTTTATTTTGCAAGATTTCGCTTAATGGATCATATGGTTACGATGCAATGAATACACAAAATTACGCAAAGACTAAAATAATGAATGCACAGAAGGCACGCGTTGCATGTATGTCAAATAAGTTTAAAAACATAAGAGAAATAGGAGAGGATACGTATCAAGTGATGCTTAAAGATAGATTTTATAGATGTGATACATGTTTACAAGAGGCATTCTTCACTTTAGATAACGCAAAATACTGGTATTTAGTTTTCATTTATGATTTTATGTATAAATGCATGGATGTTAATCGTTTTCATTTCATTGAAGGTGATACTGATTCATCTTATTGGGCAATCGCTGGCGACCCAAATCTTCCTAACACTCAAGCATTTCAAGCAATTGTTACCGATAAACAATTTTATGATAAAAACATTTTCAAATTCGCACCATTTGATTTCTTCTGTTTTGATGAGAAATTTAAACCTAAATTAAAGAATAAAGCTGAAGAAAAAGCACATGAGAAGAAGTTATTGGGTTTAGCAATTGAGAAACAAGGTGATAACATGGTTGCTTTATGCCCTAAGTGTTATACATCATTCAACGGTTCAATTGATGGAAGTGATTTTAAAAAGATTGCACAAAAAATGAAAGATGTTAGTTTACGACAAAATAAGCAATTAACACCTAAAAATTATTTGGATATAATAAATGATAAAGTTATTTTCGATGGTCAGAATATTAATTTACAACTTAAAAACGGGTCAATGACTCGCTTAACAATCGGTAAGACTGCATTAACAGGAGCACACACTAAGGCTGTATGTTGTGAAAATGGATGTTGTATGCCATTTATTTAATACAATTTAAAAACGTAGGGGTTGAGTCATGAATTTAAAATTTTATTTTTAATAAAATGCCACAGAAGAGACAAAAGGAACCGAATAGATTTATACCAAATGGTTTTAACTTTCAGATTCCAAATAATCAACAACCACCACCACAGCATCAACGGAGAAGAACATTCACCCCTGAAGAAAGAAATTTCAATAATTTGATGCGTCAACAAAATCAAGGTTTGAGATTTTATCCGGGCAGTAATGGTATACATATAAGGCATCCAAATTTAGATAGAAGTTATACCGCTGAGATTCATATTTTACCTAATAATACGATTAATTTTGCTGGATTTTATGATCATCATCAGGAAATCTGGACTCCACCATTTGATACCGTTTTAGAAGGAGGAACCGTTAATGATGCGATTCAATATGTAAATAATGGTTTTGATACTATGATTCAAAGAGGTGGGCACCCTTAAAACATTTATTTTATTTTTATATAAATGGATAACGCAGATTTAGAAAATTTAATTGATGATTTAGTACTTAATCAAAATTTTCTTAATTATTATGAATTAAAATCATATCTCCAAAAACATAATAAAAATATAACGGGTGATGATATGGATTATTATTATTCGTATTATAAAAATGAAATTTTGAAATATCATGATAAAATAATTTCTGAAATTAAAGACAAAATTAAAAATAATGAATATACAAAGGGAAAAACTAAATCACAACTTAAACAGTTGAAAGATTTCAAAAATAAAGTATTAACAGAAGAAGATATTGATGAATTATATAAATTATATAAATTATATAATCCTGAGCCGCAAAAGCCAAAGGAACAAAAGCCAAAGAAGAAAAAGCCGAAAACAACACCAAAAGAGAAAGTAGCAAATGTTCAACAGCTAAAGGTGCAAAACGCCCAGGTCCTTCAGACCATAAATGAAGCACAAGCTTTAATTTATGATTCATTAGTTAAACCATATTCAGCCCGACTTTTAAATGAAGATCAACTTTTGGAATTCATCCTTCAACATAAACTCGAAGCGGGAAAGTATATCAAACCTTTATATACAGCATATTTAAAACAAATGAATAGAATACATCCAGAATTAATGAGGGGAGGAATGAAATCCAAAACTTCATCATCCAAAATCAAAGCAGATAAAATTAAACCACTTGCAACACCAAAACCTCCAACAGTAGTACCTCCTCCTTCAGTTAATTCTTCATCATTCACTTTATTATATCCATTTCAATCACCAAAGAAACAAAAAGATTTTAAAAAGGATTTCAAGATATTAAATAAACCAATTGACCCGAAAATTCAACCGTTAAAGGAAAAATTTAGTCGCCCTTCATTTGCACCATATCCATATTCATACGAAATCGATCATTTAGAATATTCAAAAGGAAACGTTACTTATTTATTCGCCATTAACATTAACACTAGATATTTATATTGCATTCCAGTGAAAGGGAAAACAGAACAGGAAACAAGAAGAGCTATTCAATACTTACTAGATCATGAAAGAGTAGATAATATCAGGGGTGATGGTGATAAAGGATTTCAGGCAGCTATGATTCATTATTTCCCACAAATTAATTTTTACTTCTCATCCTCTCCATATACGTTTCATAATAAAATAGTTGATGCGGTAATGAGAACTCTTAGAGATGCGTTAGGGGTTAACGGTCGGATATACTGGGATGGAAATCATGACTCCATCATACAGCAGTTAGTATATTATTACAATAATACATGGCATAGAACTATAAACATGAAACCAGTGGAAATGAAAAATGATATTTCAAAAGAATGGGAATATATTAGAAAGCAAATGGAAAGGTTAAATGATGTTAAACGTGAACAAATTAATTCGGGGCTCATGAATTTTAAACAAGGGGATAAAGTTTTGATTCATCTCGATTATGGAAAAACTGATAAATCAATGACAAAAAGAGAGCAAGATTTGACACAATAGCTGAATTTGTTAGATATATTAACGGCAATGCATTAGTTGAAGTTGACAATAAATTAATAGAAATTCCGATTTATTTTATTACTCCATTATATTTAAATAATATTTAATTTTTTTATTTCGTAAGAAATGAGTGACAACAAAGCAGCCAAGAGTCCTGATTCAATTAAGATTCAGAGTCCAGACGATGAATATAAAAAGAAACTAAACAGAATTAAATCAAAAATATGCTATTACAAAAAGAAGCTGCAATGCGGCGGGGCTGATGCCCATAAAACTAAAGTAATTGAAAACGATAAAGAGAGGAAAGAAATAATCGAAAAATTAGAAACTTACCGTTCAATCCTTAAACTGAGTGAAGCAAAAATAAAAGAATTTAATAGAATAAATAAATTGATTGGAAGAGATGAATTTAATAAAGATGAATTTTAAAACTCTATCCAAATTTAATTTTTATTCCTCTTCGACAACGTCTCTTCGAGACGAAGGTGTCACCACGTCACCATGTGTCACCAGGTTAATTAACTTCTCTTAAAATTACTGACAGCATGACATTTAGACAACAGGTACGAAAGGATGAAGGCATTTATGAATTATTTTTGAAGAACTGATGGTGTCACTACGTCACCATGTGTCACCAGGTTAATTAACTTCTCTTAAAATTACTGACAGCATGACATTTTGACATCACAGCAGGATTAATGCAAAAATAAATTCCAATCATACTTTATAAAGCTTCATTTACAGGTATTTCATCGTCAGTAAATGAATCCTCATTATCGTTTGGTTCAACCTGTTTATATAATCCTTTCATTTCTTCTTTCAAAACATAACACCATGTTTGTTTACCATCTATTCTTCTCTGTTTCCTATCACATTTATCCTTAATGCTCATTTGGAAATTCTTGTCTTTCATGTCTGATGGTTTGCAGCATAGAGCATTTTTACACGTCATACCTGCACACAATTCATCATAATGTGTATTTATCCATTCATCTAAAGGATTTGTTGATAATTCTATTAAATCTTGTTTGGCTTCAGTCATCGGTATGATTCGTATATTAAATGATGAAAGGTCGTATTGCATAAAATACGTCAGTAAATTATCATAAAATTCCTTTGTGCATGAATCCATTAAATTCTTGAAGTAATCAAATTGACCCTTGAATTTACCATTAACTCTTAAAACTACGTATCTTCTGTCTCCAACTTCAATTTTGACAGGGTAAACGTTATTAGTTACCAAAATGAAGTTTGCAACATTCTGAGCAGTTCTTCTGGGTTGATTCTTTTCATTAATTCTAATCTCATTATCCGTAATAATTGATTTCAAAGCGTTGAAGTTTGCGAGTCTGTCTCCACCTACATTCTTGAGTTCATTAAGTACAAGAAACATTTTATTCTCAACTACTGAATTGAAATTACCCGTTAGCTCACTTATTTCGGTAATGTTTTTACATGAATAACCGGCGAGAAGTTCAGAAATAATGTCTGTAAATCTGTTTTTACCTGTTCCCTGAAGTCCTTTCAAAATAATTGCTGTTTCATTCTTGATTCCAGGATGTTGAATCATTGATGCAATCCAGCCGAGAAGGTATTTATACACTTCATCGTTATTATCACAAATGGCTTCTTTAATGAAATTTATAAACATTTCAATTTTTGAGTAATCAGGCTTTTCGAGAACGTTGTATTTATAACCTTGAAACGTTGAGAAAACATCTGGAGAATCAGATTTAAAGCAAACACCCTTAACGGTTAATGAAGACAATTGATTTAATAGTACTGCCCATGCTGTTATTGTTTTACCTTCTTCTTTAAATAATTTAATCATTTTAAGTGACTCTTTCATGTTTGATTGAAGAACGAATGATATTTGATTCATTTTGTCGTGGATATTATAGTCCTTTTGAATGAAATATTTATTTCCACAATCTACAAAACGGATTACACGTGATAAATCCTCAATTACTTCAGAACTGTTTTTATACTGATGATTTTCAGCCTTGCGTCTAATATCTGTTATCAAAACGAGTCATCAAGTTTTATATCAAATGTTATTTTTGGCTTACGTAATAAAGGTAAAACGTATTCATCATAATATTCTTTTTGGTATAGTTTTAGAATCTTCACCAAAACAAATGGAGAAGTCATTAAATGTGCATATCTACTACGTGCTTTTTCAAAATTACTTTTTGCATTTTCAGTTAAATTGCAGAAGTTATAAACGTTACCGTATGCTTCATTAATTAAATGATTAGGTAACGAATTAATTGCTTGAAACAGTGTGAATAATGTAACTTCTTTTTCTAAATTCATGTTTCCACCGTCATTATGTACTTCAAAATCACTGATGCCATCAACTATGCTCTGGGCAAGTTTATCGTCAATGTTTACATCTTTGTTTTCATTCATGATAGTCTTTATTTCTTCGTTCTTCTGTTCAACTCTTACCTTAATATTCAAATCATTTAATATATCGTTTACGGTTCTAGTTAATGTTGAATCATAACTTCCACGAATGAATGAGTATGTATTGATTGGTTCTGTTGCATTCTTGCGAACTCTTGAATCAGCCATAACTACTAAAGAACGCTTTGAATCATCCATAGAAGTCATTATGTCAATATCATAATCATTGCAAGAATAGCATTTAATCATTCTGTTCGAAACTGAATAGAAGAAATTAGTGTTGCAATAAATGTGAAGACCTCCTGAAGCAGTTTTAACGATAACATCTTTATCCGAAAGTTTTGATAAAATGTCTTTTCTAACCGTTTCTTTAAGTTCATCATTGTATGATTTATTGATATCAACATCTATAATCGTTAAATTTGAAATTTTATTTACTAATAAAGCCATACCAGTTTTCCTTCCTCTTCCTCCATCGTGTTTGAGGTAGTTATGTAAATCAATCTTGTTTTCACCAATTCTTTCGTTGAGGGTTTTAGTTTCTGCCACAACTAATTCCTCAGCTAATGAATCAATAACTTTTTCATCAGAAACGATATAGTTGCTGTTGTTGTTTGTTGCTGTCATTTATATAGGAATAAAAAAATAAAAATAATTTTAAAACTAACTTTATTTTTGGACTGCATCAAATTTCCGGGAATGTTGTCAAAATGTCATGTTGTCAGTAATTTTAAGAGAAGTTAATTAACCCGGTGACACATGGTGACGTGGTGACACCTTCAGTTATTCAAAAATAATTAATTATTGAATAACCTAAAAACCATTAACGATAAAATATATTTCTGCAGTTCATCCATTACTTCATTACCTAATTAATTACAGACATAAAATATATTTAGTTCATAAAATTTTTTTGATTAATTTTGGCTTATTTTTATCCTTCCAGTAATCCTTTTCGAGTTCCGATAAATGTGTAGGGTTCGATTCTCTCAAATTTCTAGAAGGAATTTTATCATCCACACCTCCTTCATAAATGACAGTGTATTCATCTTTAACCTGATGAACTATATTTTCATCATAAAATCTCTTAATTTCTGTTCTATCATTAAATCCCGCATTCTTTGCAGCTTCATAGAATTTTTTAAATGACCTCCACGGTGATGATTCGAATACTTCTTTTAAACTCATTTATGTAAAAATAAAGATTTTATTCAAGACGGTACCATGCAAATACAGTCATAAATGGTGGCATATAATCTTCACCCGAGCCTGTTGGATTTGTTGTAAAAGTGTGTGAATGATTTCCTCCTGGTTCAGTTGGTCGAAAAGTCTTTTTTGTTGAATTGTTATAAGCTGGAGATAAAACATCATGACCGGTTTCATAGTCTGAGTTGTATAATGGGTGGTCTCTTAATGAGTGTGTATGGTCGCCAGAAAAGTTTGTAGTTCCTGTATGCTTATGCGGTGGAAGGTTTGCTTCTAAAATTTTCTTTGAACCACCTGTTTGCTTTGAAGAGTTAGCACAGTATAAGAATTTATCTACAATCTGCTGCCATGTACCGAAACCGAATACATCAGCTGGATTTGTTGAATTCATTGATGTATATATTGAACCAATGGGGTAAATCATCTCAAGAATTGTATTTAATCCATTATGAATATTGAATTTATTATATAATATTGAAACTGGGTGAGTATTTAAAACTGGTCTTGTTATCAATATTAACGTATTATTTTTGAAAATAGCTTTTCGTACATCTTGAAATTTTGTGATTTCAGACCAATTTCTTCCATCACTACTGATATTTACCAAATCACCACATCCTAAAGCAATAAAATGACCATCAATATAAAATAAATTTGTAAATCTATAATTTCGAGTAAGTTTTGGAGTGAATGAATAAACCAATTCCCAACTTGGTGTTTTCTCTGGATCCTCTGAAAAATCCTGTGATAAATAAATATGTCTGTTATAACTTACAGGATATGAATAGACCATTCCACCTGAAACGAGAACACAAACATTTGATCCATAACATAAAGCTTCAATGTCTCCATCAGCTTGAAAAATTTGTTCAAATTGACCTTGTGGTATTGAAGATGATCTATAAATTTTATCATTTTGTAGGATAAAATACATGTTGTTAATGTAATACCACTTACTTGTATAATCAATTTCCAAATCTGATGACATCATACTAAACATATAATAATTTATCCCATCCTCACTAATGAAAATTTGATTGACTTCATAAATTAGTACCCATTTATTATTAACACATCTAATAGGATTATTTGGATATTTAAATTTAGCATCTTGATTTAAATTACATTTGAACCACTGGATACAATCGAATGAATAACAAGGGCAAAAATCATCTCCAACCGTTATCATTCCCATAAATTTACCGTTATTATATTCAACATATAAAATTCTTGGCTTTCGTGTATCAGGATTCAAAACAGATGGAGTAAATGATTCATAGTTTTTAAAATCATTTGTTTTAAAATAATAAAACACTCCAGCTGTATAAAATAAATACGTGGTCACTCCATCATAACATATCCATTCAAAAGAATCTATATCAAAGGTTTTATCCGATGATTTCATAAAATTTAAAAATGGTGGAGTAAAATAGACCTCTGATTGTTTTATTTCTTCATTAACAAATGATATATCAGCTTTCTTTGCTAACTCAGTATTAATGAATGAAATAACTTTTTCCTTATCTGCTTTCTTCTCTAACTCATTGTTAACATAAGTTTTATCTGCTTTCTTCTCTAACTCATCGTTAACATAAGTTTTATCTGCTTTAAGGTCTAAACATCCTGAAACCCATTCTGTATCAGCTTTAACTTTAAAAGTCTCCAATGTCCATTCATGATACCATTCAACCTTTTCTTTAATTTCATTATCTTTTCCATCAACATAAACCAAATTTGCTTTCTTCATTAACTCACTATCCACATATTCCTTATCTACCTTCTTCATTATGTCATTTAGGAAACCTTCTATGAATTCCTCATTTAAATTAAATCTTCCAATCTTCAAAACTTTAGGAAATGCATTTAATGCGCAATATCTCTGTTCTTCTGGTGGAATTGATGTTATATCATCCGTTATTCCTTTAATTTTTGAATTCATAAATAAAATTTCTTTTATATTTGATATCATTGCACCACCTTTGCAAACGAATTCGAAATGGCCATTTTTCAATACTATCTCCAAATCTCCATATTTCAACCTTTGCGTTTGTTCTGCCGTCTTTGAATTATATGCATATGTGGCGTATGTAATGGTCTGAAGGACCTGGGCGCTTTGCGCCTTAAGTTGCTGTTGTTTAATCATTTATTACGATTTAAAAATAAATATTTAATCCGTTATCTCATCAGCTATTTTCTCTATTTGAAATTGCCATAATATTTCATTCATAAATTCTAAATCACAATCAAATAGGTCAGTTATTCTAAATTTAATATTTGATAAATCTTTTGAATGAAGAATAAATGAATTCCCGGATAATTGAAACGGATATGATAAAGAAAATGTGTTCAAGTTGATGGATAAAATGTTTTGTATTGATGGGTAAGAGTTAGGGTCTAATGTTTGGTGTGAAAATCTCATTGGGGTATTAACTTTATCACATTTGATTAAAATGAAATTGGAACCAGTGCCAGAATACAAAACATCCCCAACATCTTTTTCAAAATTTAATATCCCCAACAATGAACGAAGATGAGGAGTACAAAATTTAATTTTCAGCGGAAATTTAATAAGGTTATTTATTTCATCAAGTTCAAAAAGTTTATCAGGTTTTGATTTAAAATTTTCTTCATACCATACGATAAATGATTCATTTAAATAACTTAAAATCATGTTAATATCCCATTTCGCTATCACATTATTTATATACATATCATACGTTTTTTCATGGTCATCTTTAATAAATGATATATAATCTGAAGGGTCTAAAAGAATGGGATTAAATTTACCACTCACAGAAACGAGAGTAACATTATAAATTCCGCTAACTGTTAAATTTAATTCACAGTTATTATTCGAAATAATATTGATAATTGACATTTTTTATTACGATTAAAAATATGGTAAAGCGTTATTTTCCAGTGATAAATAAAACTAGAATAAGATTACCTCAAGAATTCATAAATTCAACGAATAAGAAATTCATTCATGTTATAAATTTTAGTGTTTTCAGAAAATATGAGTCAGTGTCATATTCATCAACAGGTTATATTTCACTTCATTCAAATTTAGTTCAATCAAACCCATATAATGACCATTTCATAAGATTTTCAGATGGTATTAAAAATGTAATTGATAGATTAAAATATGAACAGATTGACAATATCGAATTTTTGGAATTTTGGTTTAAATATCCCGATGGAAAAAAGATTGAAGTTAAAGATAAAGCTGATACTATAACAAAAACAATTACAATGACCGATCCAGATAGTGGGGAACAAAAAGAAATAAAACAAACGATAGAAACTGGTGAAGGGTCAATTATTATTGATTATGATTCAAAGGATTATTATTCGATAATGTTAATGCTTGAATATTAAATAGCCTTAACAAAGAATTTTTCAAGTGATATTTTATATTCATCAACTATTTTATTATAAATATCATTATATGTTAAATGAAGTTCAGTTGTTGTTCCGTTCTTTGATATCTTAATTGTGCTAATATCCTTTATGGATTTATTTTTGCAACTGTTCCGCAGCATGAAACCTCATCATCTATGAAAAATTGAATCTTAACGTCTGAATCTTGAACATCACAAAGAATGGCGATAATGTGAATTAATGATTCATAAGGTAAAATAATTAAACCGGATTGATCAATTAAATTTATTATTGAATCATAATTATTAATTATTATATCACGGTAAATTTTCATTAATTCAGAATTAATGTCTATTTTATATGGGTTCTCGATGTTTGATGAAAGAGGTGGGGGTATGTTGGATAAGTGGGAATTTCAACAGGTTCTTTACCGGGTTCAGATAAAATGATTGGGTCTCCATTCTCATGGTTTTCTTCATTCTCCTCATTCTTCGGTAAGTCACGAGTTAATAAATTTGGTTGAGTTGCTGACCTTGTTAATTCAGGGCTAACATTAACTTTAACATTTTGAATAATTCGTGATTTATCATCATTTACGTTATAACCAACCGTAATCTCTGCTTTTGCGTTAGTGTTCTTTTGACTAGTGAAACGTCTTCTCATTTATATTCGAATAAAAAATATATTTAAACTTTTATTTTGCCGGAAGTTTTGAATCTATTATTCCCTGTATTTGTTCATGAAGTTGATTTTTAGCTGTTTCATTGTAATTAATAGACCTAATATATTCATTAATTGCATTCTTATAATCATCTGATTTCTCAAATTTTCTTTTATCTGATTCCTTAACTAAATCATAAGTTAAACCTCGTTGCTGATATAATGGTTTCTTAATTAAATCTTTGAATGCTTGAGATAAAGCACCTGATGCAATTCTTGCTACTATAATTGGTTGGAATTGCTGTTTAAGTTCATCTTTAACATTTGCGAAAACTGGATCGAATAAAGCAACTTTAAAGAATTTCTTAGCTGAAATTTCAGGTCTAATATTTGCATATTGACCATCAAACTGGTTAGAATATCGTGGTAATCCATCCGGTCCCTCTTCAATAGCATTTAATTCTTCATTGAAATAAGAATATGGATTATAACGGTATGAATTAATTGGACCATTTTCACCTTCTCCAATGTATTGTTTAACAGCTTTTCCATTTTCATCAAATTGCATAGGATAACGTTCATTATATGCTTTACGTTTAGGATAATCAGTTATAGTTAATTTGTAACCATTTATGACTTTAATATTTCCTTGACCATCAGTAACGAAAACTTCATTTATACCATCAGGTTTTCCATTTGGACCCGTAATGTCTGCTTCGTGTGCTTCCCAATTTGGACCTTGACGTTTGGCATATGCTTGAGCTTCTGGTAATGTTAAAACGTTTCTCATTTGTTTAACATCTTTTTGAAGACCAGCAACAATATGAACTAATTCTTTCATTCCATCAGGAACTTTCATAGTTCTATTATATGCACCCTTTTTGTTTGTTCCTTGTTTTAATGGAACCTGTAGAAGATTTGCTATTTCTGTCATGTTTAATTATAAATAAAAAATAAAAATTAATTATAAAAAGTTAATCAAATTTAACACCTCCTTTATTTAAATCAACTATTATTTTTCCATGTTCACCTAATTGCTGATATTGTGTGTAAAGTTCATTAATGCTCATTGGTAAATTCACTTGATAAAGCATAACGTTCAACTGTTGACGACTAAACCCACTGAAAATGAAAAGGGTTGATAGATTTGATTTAATGTTTGTGCTTAATGCTTTGAAATATTGAACAGCCATAAAGAATGAACACTGAATGTGTCGACATTGAGTTAATAACTGATTAAAATATGATTTCTCATTTGTTATTAGTTTTGATTTCACTGCATCATCTAGAAAAATGAGTGAATGCAAAAATTCTCTATCAAAATTTGAAATAGAAAGTGTTTCAAATAATTCATCCCGTTGTTTATCAATAATTTTATCCTCTAATCCTTGCTTCTTGATTGTATTATATAATTCTTTATACATTAAAAAGTTTTTTAAATAATCTTCTGCTTCTTCTTGTGATAAATAAATAATTGGAATTTTGATTAAATGCTTTAAAGATTCAAATGTATCATCTGAAGGTGAACCTGAACGGTTGATATAAATTAACACGTGTGAATAGGGGGAAGTGTTAGCAATAATGATAATTTGTTTTAATATCGTTAATGTTTTACCTTTATTTTGTTTACCAATTGCTGCAGTGATTGAATTTAAGTAACATTCAGAATATGGAATTTTCATTAATTTTTCCTTAGATAGAGCATTTCTATTATCACTCAATGCTTCATTAATCATATCATCTATGTATGTGTTATATACTCCTGCTAATTCTTCATAAGGAGTGTATGAATTTAAATCCATTTAATCAAAAATAAATTTATAATTTTAAACATTTCTATTCATCAATATTTCATCATATGAACTTCTATACTGTGGTGGTGTACCTGTTGGATGATATTTCAAACCTTCATCCGGTGTCCATGTCCAATATGTAGTCCTAGTAAACCAAACCTGAGGAGGATTTGTCACCTTTGAACAGTAAGTGTCATTTTCACCCTGAATGATTGGATAAACTTTCACTTGTACTGTAACTTGTGAGTTGAAAGTTTCTAATCCATCAAAGAATATACCCGCTCCATCACGTTGAACTGGAATAGTGCATAAGAATGAAGTTTGGTCTTTCCATGTTCTAGCTAATGGCGTGCCATCATCTGCATTCAGTGGTCTAGTTAATGAGTCCTCGTATTCTTCTGTGCATTCATTCACTCCATCTAAATCAGAAGCTTGAAGCATACGTGTAAAGAATATGTCGCCCACTGTGGTCATCGCTTGATCGGGGAAGTTTCTGGAATCTATAGTGACCTGAAGACCTCGAAGCATTGGATTTTCTAAAACTGTTCTTTGCATTGCATTCTTCGGAAATGCTAACACAACATCTGTAACATTATGAAGAGCGTATGAGAAATCTGAGCTAATACCTTCAGGAGTGATGCAACCTCCATTTAGTGAACGAACGTCAATATGTTGAGCTGGAATCATGAATGGATCTTCCTTACTGAATAAACGTGGTATTGCTTTAACTGATTCTTCAATTAAACCGTATCCTGGTGTAATGCATTTATCCTCTAAAACTTCCATCTTTGTGCATGAAATAATAACGTCATCAACTGTTGCGTCAGCAGATGTAGCGGCTAAGCTTGTAATTAATTTGGTAGGAAGTCCGATTTGTTGGAATTTGCGATCATTTATAAACATGATTCATAATCTTTTCATAATTTTCATCAGTTATCTTTTCATAAACGTAATTTTGTAAATCAGCAACTCTTAACGGGTCAACCTGACAAAATACTAAAGTATCCCTGAAAACATAATATTTAAGAATGATATCACCAAATGATTTAGGATAATCATCGAACGCCTGAAATGCTAACAAATCATTTACCGGAATAATCATATCAAAAGTGACATCAACTTCTTCATTTGCTTTCTTGAAAACTTCTGAAGGGTCAATATATTTACCACATACTGAGTTATCATATTTTTGAACATTATTATATAACGAATGAACAAACTTTTTAACTTTCCTTTCTGATTTTGGTTTATATGTTGCAAATGCGAAAGATTCACGGGCGCAATCCATCTGAAGATAACCGGCATCACCTCTTTCGGTTTCTACTTCTAATTGTTTAAAGCTTTGATTTGATGATTTGTAACCAACGAATAAACGCATGCATTTAAAAGCGGCATCACATGTGAAAGCTTTATTTGAAACTAGAGTTGCTTTAACTTTGTGTTTAATATATGTGTCACCTAATTGGTTCACATCATGAGCCGGATTTGTAATTCTTAAATGAGTTTGTTTATCATCAAAATATGGAGCATCAGAGTCATAGCATGAACTTTCAAGTTCTCTATAATATCTTCTACCGTCATTCTTTGCGAATATTTCATTTATCTTTTCGAATGAATGAAATACATTTCCATTAATCGGTTTAGTGTTTGGCACCAAATAGTTAGTCGTCATTTATTAATAAATAAAAAATCAAAATTAAAAGATGAAAATGAATTTTTAATTTTAATGAAATAATCAACTATGGCTGCAGGTATATTTAAGAAACTGTGGAATAGAGTAAAAAGAGGAGCGAGTAAAGTTTGGGAAACATTGAAGAAGGGGGCAAATTGGATATTTAAGAATAAAGAAGCAATTAGTGACGTTGCTGAATCAATAACACCAAAAGCTGCCCCAATAAGAGAAGTTTTAAATAAAGGAGAAAAAGTTTATCAAAGACTACAACCGATACTAAGATAAAAATAATTTTAAGCCGCTAAGCAGCGAGATGATCCATAGGATCTCATATTTATTTTTCCACTATTTACCTCCTATTTTATTAAGTATTCCTTCAGCAATTCCACCAACTGCGTTACCTGCTTGTGCTCCCATCGCCGGATTACCTGCTTTAGTACCTAATACGCCACCTATGATAGTTCCTGCCGTTTTCGCTACTGGTGCCAAAAAGTTTGCAACGGGTTTAATAATCTTTTTATAAACCCAACCCGCAGCTTTCTTAATTCCATCCCATAATTTTTTAAAGAATCCTGCCGCCATTTCTGATTTAATATTAATTAAAAAATATATTTCATCACTTATATTCTAATTTTTATTTAATGATAAATGAAACCGATTTTAAAAATAAATGAAACAGAGGAGGAAGAAATAAATGAAAGTGAAAATGTTCAACAAAAAATAAACGTTGTTAAACCAATTACTGAAATAAAAATTTTTTCATCTGTTGAAGAATTTAATGACTATTATGCTAATAATAAAAAATTATTTGAAGAATTGACAACGTGTAAATTGAATAAAATGTTTAAAGTTGATGGATTCAAAATTTCAAAAATAAAAGGAGTGGTTAGTTTGAAATCTATTCCTCAATCAAGAATCACCTCATTAATGAAAATTGATGATTTAACAAAAAGAATAGAAGAGATTGAAGAAAGAATGAATCAAATAATTGATTTCATAAATTCAAATAATCATTAGTTTCTTAAAGTTCTATGTTGAACTCATCAAATTCTTCTTCATCATTACCATTACCTTTAGCGAGTTTATTTACTCTTTCAACTTTATCTTTTGATAGTCTTTCGTTTAATTTTTTCTGAAGTTTTTCGTTACCAAGTTCTAAAATTTTACACGGATGATATTTAAACCCGTTAAATTCTTTTTCCTCAGTTTTAATCATTAATCTACAAAGAACTTTAGTGAGGTGGTTTTGTTGTTTAAACCATTTATCCTTAATATTTGTTATAAATTCAATATCCGGAATTAATTCCCAAATTTTTGAATTTTCGATTAATTTACCATCAAATGCAAAAGCAATAGGTTTAATATTAAACTTACCTTTATAAAATAAACTTTGTATGCAATCATCAAAATAAACGTCTACTTGTTTAACCTGGGTGAGAATTGGTGAAAGTTTATCCATTAATTGATTCACAGTCACGAACTTTGATTCACTCATTTCTTACGAATTAAAAAAATAAATTATTCAAAAATGTAAGACATGAATTTTTAAAGTTTATTTTTTATTCATGAAAATAATTATTTCTAATTTCTTTTACTCTCTCATACATACTAGATTTAAAGAATTCAGAACATTTCCCATAATCTCCTAAATGTTTTCTTATCCCTAACGTGTGCCAATTATTATATGAAACTGAATAAACTTTATCTTTATCTTTACACCTTTCATCACTTCCAATATATTTATATTTCAATTTTGATTTAGCATTTTCATATTCATTAGCGTTTAATAATTCGCAGTCTTCCTTTTTAAATTGATGTTTAAGATATTCAGGATTTAATACTCTACGTTTATATGCTCCTAACTTAGTTCTAAAGGTTTTTCTACAAAATTTAGGAATTCCATCCTCTTTAATGTCATCAATGATTTCCATTTCATTATTTTCAATTTCTTCTTCTCGTTTATGAGGTCTTTGATTATGACTCCATTGATTCCATGAAATTAAATATTCTTTATCATTATATTTATACCTCATTAGCTTATTTTGGCTTTCATATTCATTTAATAATTCACAATCTTCATTTTTAAATTGAAGTTTAACCCATTCAGGATTTAAACAATGTTTAATTAATCGCGGAATATCTGACATCATCTATATATAGCTTCTTTTATAAAAGATAAAAAAATAAATTATTTTAAAATTAATGTTAATTTTTTTAATGGTTTATAAATAAATATATTTTAATGCATCGTCTATATATAGATGTAACAAAAAAAGTCACTAAACCCGTCATATCCTACTACTAATTAAACAATATCGAATTCCCTCGAAGTGTGAAGATATTAAAGAGCAACCCTTTGCTGATTTTAATGGATGCACTATATCATGATTTCGTTATAATGAATCCTATTCGCATTTTGTTTTATTTTCAAAAAAAAGATATGAAAATATTGAAAATGTGACGTGACTCAGCTGTAGAACTTTTGAGCCGAGATTCGATTCTTTCCATCTCCAAAAGCTACGATTAATGATCTGTATTCTGCTCATATGAGTGCAGATCTTATTTGATCGAATAAATTAAGATTTTTCTCATGCTTGTGATGATCTTTCTGCATAATTGACAGTATAAATGTTGTGAATCTTAATGATATAATAATAAATTCCTAATTATTCTACATGCATTTGATAATCATACTATATTTAATATAGAGAATCATTGAGTTCTTATAATTAAATTGCACGGAGATACAAATGAGGTTTTTATTAAAATTTTTGTAATAAATCACTTAGATAGGAAAAATAAAAGCTATTTAACAATGAACTATTTCGTGTATTTTTCCAAAATTTTTTGATTTTTTCGATTTTGATTTTAAATTTATAAAATATTATTGCATTATCATAAAATAAGACATTTTTTGGGAATTTTAAAATACTAGAATCAGCTTTAAATTATATAAATTATTTAATATGCTGGGAAAGAGGTACTCTATTTATAGAATTTTTTATCCATAATTTCAATTCATATAATCAATCCATAACGACAATAACAATGCATGCAGACACCATTTGGTAGACTTTGGACAACATTAATATAACAGTGATCTTGATAAAAATTAGAATCGAAAAATATTGCTGCTAACAAACAAGCAATACAATTGTACAATCAAGAGGATACATTTCAATTAAAATACTATTATATTACAAGTAAAAAATTAGAGATTTAGTAACAATAGGACATAAATTAATATGGATTTTACATAACTATCAAATCATGATGGTAGTAATTGAATGTTTTCATCAAGAATGATATTTGCAATATTAAAGAAGGAGAAAATCGTTGGTTTGATGCTCATATCTATATTACCTTGAAGAATCTAGTTTTCCTTGGTTCGGGGATAAAAATTCTTTATCAAAGATATAACAGATTCTAGTTAAGGTGATTTTGTAGGAATGAAGAAAGTTATTTTTATCTGAGACAGAATTGCTTGCAAATTTCTTCTTTTTGTATTATCTAATGTTCAGTAATTGTTAGGGTGTGAACAATTCAAAGCGAATTATTTTCTTGAAATTTTTTTTGTTTTAATATCTAAGAAATAGATATTGCTTCTAACGGAACAGATAGCTAATGACAGGTGATCGTATTTTCCGCTTGATTTGCTAGGTAGAGTGCTTGAAAAATGCTCTAGAGCTCTTCGTTTATAAAATAAAAAAAAATGTTCGATTATACTTTTGAGCAGCCACCATTGACACAAAAAGAAATTCAACAAGAAATAGATTACTTGGTGAAAAATGACAAAGAAATCAATCATATTTTAACGCAAACAAAAACACCAATCTTAATCAAAGATTTTGATCCAAATATTAGAGCCCTTTATCATATCAAAAAGAAACAAATTTGGGTTAACAATACAGGAATATATCCAGGACAGCTAAAAGAAATGCTGCTTCATGAATGTATTCATTGTTATGACCACTTGATCAACAAAATTAATATTGGCACAAAAGAAGGTCTTGCAAGATCAGAAGTTCATGCTATGAGAGAGTGTGAGTGTGCAGGATCTTGGTTTAGAAGATGGTGTACATATTATAAAGCAATTCAAGCAGTTACCTTATCAACTGGCAATCATGAAGCTGCTAGATCTGCGGTAGATTCTGTTTTTAGTGATGCTTACTATGAGGATATTTTCCATGATCCTTATAATTAATTTCGAGATATGCAAACAACATTAATCTTAATTTGTTATACTACTTATAGAAATTTAATTCAGCTGATTTTCAAGCGAAATCTGATTATTTTTTTCGTTGCTCATTACGTACTGAAACGTTAAGTTAGTCACCATTATCGCAGAATTTTACTACTTCACCAGATTATGACCTAAGAATATTAAATTCCAACAAAAGATGATATAAATTTTTTCCAACCTTTCTAACATAAATGAACTTCTAATTCCTCATAATCCAGCTTAACATAGTTTGTTTTTACGAGAGCCAGTCTCTATTTTATAATGATCAATTAAGGTGTCTGGATAATTCATTCGTAAAGATGATTTATCGCAATTTTCTACTTTTGATGAAAGAAACATTTATTTCAAAAGAAGCTAACTAAGGATGTCAATTTGGAAGAAAAGTGAGAAAATTCCTAAAATGCTAAAAATGAATTTTCAAAGGTAGTCTCACGAAAATACGTTATTTTCCCGATGCCTTGGAAGCAGCTTTGCAGGTTACCCGTAAGGTAACCAGTAGAAGTTTCTGAGCAAGGATGAAGAAGATTAAAGAGCCTTTTTATTGCAAACGCTATATTTGTAAGTGTCTTTGTAGAACTTCTCATAAATTCAAAGATTTCCAAAAACGAATTTTTCGATTTTGATATAATAAATGATATTTAAACAAATTATAGATGTGTTTGCAATTAAAAAAATCCGAGTTAACTACAATATCTTCAATTTTTGTCGTTCACTTTTTCATGTCATACTGATAGCAAGAATACTCACCCAATTTGGTTACACTTCATGATAGTTTGAAGTAAAAAAATGCCACAGTTTTTTTTATTTGATATCGTTATCTAAATTTTGTACAGAAATGAAATAAATTATAATATGAAACGTGTGTTATTATGCTTGTTGGGAAACAATCCAATACTTATGTCTGAATGAAATGATTATTTCTACGAGATTTTTCATATTCAGCTAATAATGCTATCAAAATCAAATAACAATAAAAAGTTATTTTGTACATAATGTAACTTAATCTTTAATACTATATAGAACTTCGAAATACGACTAAACGGTGCGAGTTACGCGATTAAATACCTTTTTTTCGATCGAAACTTGAAAGTGAGGATAACTCAATGGGTAGGGGTATGGGTTCGACTTTTTCTATTGGGCAACTATTTTTTTCTTTTCATTGTTTCAGCATTTTTTTATGCGATTATGCATAATTATTTGATTTCCTATATATTCAATAATAAATTTGTTCCGAACTCTTAACAAATAAATAAATTTTTAGAATATTTAAATTTATAGCTCCCTACATTAATATAAAGTGTTCGAATAGTTCATATATAGTTTCTTTAAAATAATTTGTTTCATTTTAAATTGGTTTGGCACAATGCTTGACATAACATGCACAAAGCTATGCCATTTTAAAATATGTATATCAATCAAGCCGATTAAGTCCATCCTAAACGAAAATCATCGATACTCATGAATTTATGATAGTCGTTCTTGATATAATTGCGCGTTTTAAAAAATGCTTACTTTTGAACACAGAACTTATCTATCCATATTTATCAATGAAAGTTTATAAGATGCATTAATGACAAAACCTTACTTTATCAATTATAATCTTATCGTAAATTTCAAACTACAATACTGTGGGGCAAATATTAAATAACCACTATGTTGCGGATTTTATGTAAGTCTGCAAACTGTAAAATGTAATTAAACACAAATAAAAAAAAAATGTAAATTTTAATCGAGAAATTTAGCAATCTTGAAAGCCTTGATCGGCATCTTTTACAAGATGTCAGTAATGCATATTCAATAACTATGAAAATCTAGCCAAGCATGGATTTTTTTCGAAAAAAAATTGTATTAAATTTCATTTTTCATTCTTTATACAAGTTTTAACCTTTGGTGCAATTATATCCTATCGCAAATGCATTATTGACGTTATTACTTGGATACTTCTTCATAACGCTAAATCTTCAAATTAGTTATGTATTTGTTACTAATAGAAGTTGGAAAGGTATTAAAAAAGGAAATGTTAATAAATATACATGTTTAATTAAAAAACAAACAAGAATAAATTAAATAATTTTATTTCTTAGGAAAGTCTAAGTTTTGTAATAGATAAATTGCTTTTTGTGTCTCTTCTTCATCAATTTCTGGATGTTGATTCTCAGGTGGCGGACTAATTAAAACATCATGGGCAATATCAAACCATTGTTTTAGTTCGTTGGCAGAAGGAAAATGATCTTCTTGTATTGGCGTTATTAATGATTGAAAATCATCAGTTGATTCTGTTATATACGAAAACGATAAAAACAGTTTGACAGAAAAGTGACAACTTTATGTGTCAAAAATATAAAAAGTGATATTTTATTCATCATTATCTTCTTCATAATTTATTTCATATTCTTCGTCTTACCAACAAAAGATGGGAATGTGAACAATTGCGGGCAATTTTTAGCCATTTTGGCTTGGAACTAGAGCCTGCGAGGTACATAGATAGTATCAGTACCTCACAGGCTCTAGTTCTCTATATGGCGCCGAGAAATTTTGGTGAAATGTGGTCGCATTTCACCAAAATTTTTTCGGCGCCATAGGATGAATTGGAGGGTGAGAGATATTATTTCATACAATACTACTCTCACCCTCCAATTCCCAGCCAAAATGGCTAAAAATTGCCCGCAATGTGAACAATTGCGGGCAATTTTTAGCCATTTTGGCTTGGAACTAGAGCCTGCGAGGTACATGGATAGTATCAGTACCTCACAGGCTCTAGTTCTCTATATGGCGCCGAGAAATTTTGGTGAAATGTGGTCGCATTTCACCAAAATTTTTTCGGCGCCATAGGATGAATTGGAGGGTGAGAGATATTATTTCATACAATACTACTCTCACCCTCCAATTCCCAGCCAAAATGGCTAAAAATTGCCCGCAATGTGAACAATTGCGGGCAATTTTTAGCCATTTTGGCTTGGAACTAGAGCCTGCGAGGTACATGGATAGTATCAGTACCTCACAGGCTCTAGTTCTCTATATGGCGCCGAGAAATTTTGGTGAAATGTGGTCGCATTTCACCAAAATTTTTTCGGCGCCATAGGATGAATTGGAGGGTGAGAGATATTATTTCATACAATACTACTCTCACCCTCAATTTTAATTACTTAAACTCATTCTATTTTTTTGACATGTAAATGTCACTTTTACTGAGATCTGACACAATGTCAGATCTCTTTTTTTCGTATATAAGAATTCTGCATTTTGGGAATTTTCCAAATTTTCATTTGGAAAATTTGAATTTTGAGATATTGTTTAAGCACTCAGATCTCATTTTTAAAATATCTGCACCAAATTCTTACATCTGATAATTTTCATGTGTAACCAATGTTTCCCAATCCATTTGCCATACCCTACTAATCGCAAATTCATTCCCTTTAATTTTGTATTAAATTTAAATTCCAATCTTAATTTCTACATTATTTATGCTAACCCTTTAAATTTTGTTCTTATTTATTCACCCTCAGATACAAATTTATTTAGAATGTATTCCTCTGAGGTCTATATTTGTATTCGAAAATAAAATCTTTAAAACTCTCTAAGTTATCATTTTCTCTTCAGATATCTAATATTTTTCTAATGACATAACTACTTTGGACGCATATCCAAATTCCAAAAAAAATATGGAAAAAATAAAAATGAAATTGAAAAATACAATTTTTGATATGTAAAAAGAGATCTTGAAAAAAATTGGGAAAAAGAGTATCTAATAAAATTGTTTGAGATCTATGTAGACATAGTTTTTACATTAAAAAATCAATAATATTGAAATTGATCTGAATATATCTTTTTTTTTAAGTTTGAATGCATTAATCTCAAAGCATTTGATAAAATACTGGTTTTATTTTAAAATTCTAAATAATTTGTAATTAGATCTTTATGATGTAATTTAATTTTAAACAAGTACAGATAAAGAGAATCATAATAAAGGTGATCTATATTGCTTAAGTAAAATTGAGTATAATAGATCGATCTTAGCAACAAGATCTGAGGAAGTAGATTTGAGAGTCGAGAGTTTAGATCTTAGCAACAATATCTGAGGAAGTAGATCTTAGCAACAAGATCTGAGGAAGTAGATTTGAGAGTCGAGAGTTTGGATCTTAGCAACAAGATCTGAGGAAGTAGATCTTAGCAACAAGATCTGAGGAAGTAGATTTGAGAGTCGAGAGTTTGGATCTTAGCAACTAGATCTGAGAGTTTTATCATTTCCGGCATATTGGGCCAATGTATGGTGTTTTTTATTATATCCGTTTCTCTCACAATTTTCAATAAATATTATTGTTCAAACGGAAATATAAATAAACAATTCAAAAATAAAAATGTAAATGTAAATTGAAAATGTATTATAAACATTCTAAAAAGCGTATATTTTAAACTTAAAGGAAAAATGAAATTCGTAAAAATGAGCATGATGTTTGATAAGGGAGTTTTAATTTTTTTTTCAAAAAAATTAAGGAACTTAAATTGAGATTATCAGGCTATGTAGTGGGTATTTTTACGATCTGACTGCAGAAATCGAATCAGCGAGACCCGAAGATTCATATTCCGCCGGAAAAATAGGGTTTCGAGGCGTAGATAGGGATAAAAAGATGCTTTAAGAAGATCTCAGTAGAAATATGGTTTATAAGAGGATATAGGTCAGGATATAAGATTATGAAAATTGAAGAAGTGAATTATCAAGATGTATTTATGAGTAAACTATATTGTTTTAAGCTATCTAAATCTGTTTTGATATAAATTAAAGCGTATACTTATGCAAAATGCGAAATTTAAATTAATACTTTTTTTTGCTATTTGGACACAAAGCTAACAATCCATCCAATAAATGACGTATACCTAGCGAGATGAAGCATTTTAACATGAAAGACAAGAAAATCTGATTACTTGTGTTGAAAGTTTCTGTATTTCGTCTTCTTCCAAACACAGCGTTCAGATGCAGAAGAAAATGCAGCCGTAATGACGCAAAAAGACACTAAAATAAATTGGAGAATTTCTGTAAAGTTTTTACTGAGCTTTGTTATTGAACCCGAATTTGTTGCTGAGTGACAGGATATTAAATCTACGACATTCATGAGTAATTGTTATCAATTTGTCAATAAATTATGTTGAAGATGGTTTAAATGTCTTCGAAGGCATGAAATTAGATCCTAAATCTGTTTGAGTTAATAAAAGAGAACAAATGTTGAAAGAGTTGTCATATTGCCTACAAAATTTTCAAACATTTGCATTGAGACAATGTGAAAAAATGATGTCCAAAATACCTTTACTAAAATATTTTTAATTTGAATCATAACAAGGAAAAACAATAATGGCAGAATAAGAAAAAAAAACAAAGATGTTATGATTTGAACAGTTGCCTTTTAGATTCAAAAAGAGCATAGTGTTCACAACCACTACACTACCTTCCTTTTTGATAAAAAGCTGAATAATTAGTATTTAATGAATTCTCCAACTTGGGGATTTGCGGCTTTTCCAAAATCTGTTATGATAGTTCTATATAGCAATTGATATATAATATGTTTTTTATAATCAAATAATTTTTTAGTCCAGATAAATTTTTTAAAATTTCAAAGTCTTTCCATTCTACTAACGCTCTTCACATCCATATTCTTTACCATATATGTAATATAACGCCTTATTTTAATTCCCATGTTTACGATTTATTTGTCGAAAAACTGTCTTGCCCATTAACATCTCGCGAAAATTTTCGACTTTTTGAATGGCCGTTTTCAAGATCTCAAAAACTGTGGGATATTTTTTACAAAGCTAATCGACATTTATTTACCACATATATGTACTATACAATGCACCTGGTTTCATCGAATTTTTACCGTCAGTTTTCTGGTGAGACTACCTTTGAATTTTCCAAACGTATTTTTTTATCTCATTTTTTTGATTTTGAAAAAAATTTGGAGAGAAGAACTCTTCGTTTTTGAATTTTATCACGATGGTTTTAAAGTATATTAGACACATGTATTGGTATTACTATTTTTGTATATTTTGAGAGAAAATCCCTAAAAAGTGAGAAAATCTAAGACGGTTTGAGAAAATATATAAACTATTGAAAATTTGAATTAAACTTCGAATTTGGAAAAAAGAAATTTGGAAAGAAGAAAATTCAAAAATCGAGATTTAGACTCAGCATCAAATGGAAAACAAAATGTTTCTTCATATGAAGGAAAAAAATTTTCTTGTGAAGAAATAGAGTTTTTAAAATTTTATTGTATGTAATGAAATAAACAAATATTAAAATTATTTTTTGATAACAAGAAAATTCCCAATAGAAAATATTTGAGAGAAAGAAAAAAAGAAAATTGAAAAATATTACTCTCCTTTATATTTCATGAGATTTTAAATTTATTCTCATAAAATTGACAATTTTATACGTTTAGATGAAAATAAGTGATTTTGGTTGAAATAGAAATTATTATTTGCTTACAGCTATCAAATAGATTTTTGCTATTTTGATTAAAATTTGTTAATCAAATTAATAAATTTTTTCTAAATATCTTAAATATCTGGATCACTCACATATACAATGAATTGAACGATAAAAATAATACAAACTCAACTAAGTTTCCTGTCTTTCAACTAAAAAAAATTATGCAAATTAAATTAAATTGTTTATTCAAATATAAAACAAAGATGAAGTAATTACAGTTATCATAAACTTTATGAATAACTCTGTAATTGGTTCAGATTTTCGTAAAAATATTTTTATTAATATCGATAAGAATACGTTTACCTACTATCACAACATATCGATAAACAAGAGTAGAGTGATTTTTATCATCGAAACTTTTTAAAAGCTGTAAGCTGGAAGGAAAAATCTTGTTTTTTCTGAGTTAGCTGTAGAACTATTGATGCACGAGTTATCATTGTGATGTAGAAGGATGTCAATGTACTGACTGAAGGATATGAAGTGAATTGAATTTCATTGCATTTCAATTTGATCAAAATTTGTTGAAATGATATGAATGTGTCAACATCTGTATCACTCTCTTTCACTCCTTCCCTATTCTTTCGAGAACGAAGCTAGCTCAGCTTTCGCTGAGCGAATTGACACTTTTGATGCCCTAAACGTACATGCTCTCAAATTTATCGAAAAAAATTATACCACCCAAACTAGTATATTCTTATTTTAAATATGATATTATCCTTAGAATCCACACTAGAATATATTTAAATCAACTTTTAAAAAAAATTCGAATCCTGCGCATCTCACTTTTTAAATTTTCCAAAAGGAAAATTATATTCTCCTAAAATGAAAACAATTTTCCGAATTGACATCCTTAAGCTAACTGTAAGTGCAAGAATATATTTATGCCATTTGTATAAAATTCCATCAATTGTTTTTTTTTCGAATTTAATTTCAAAATAAACTTGTATTTCAAGCAGGTTAGGATATGATAATTGCAATCATATATTATTTATCTTGTGCAGAGTAAAGAATAAAACTTTGAGAAGAGATATAAAAAATGTTATCGCTTTTTATGTGTGTTGATCAAAAAGATAATATATTCTGCAAAATAGAAAATGAATTAAATTAAATTTGAATACAATTGAATTAGAAAATGGAATTATTGGATAGTTTGATTTCAATGATATTATTGAATTAATTTATTGTGATTTTAAAACGTTTACATTTTTCTAACCGCAATATAAAAAGCTAGTAGGTATGAAGATCCAATAAAATTATCAATTTTCCATTTCCCATTCATATTCAAAACTTCATAATTTTGATAAGGTGTGTCAAAATTATATGGTATTCAAAAGTGATTGTATTATATATTATACTATAAGAGATATAATTTGAAAGTTAATAGTTAAAAAAAATTCTTATGTCGGTTCAAACCGAAATAATCAATCGATTTATTAATACATTAGCGTTATAATTTGACCAGACCAAAATATTTTTAAGAAATTCTTTCTGAACCTTTCAATAATTCTATCCGAATTCGAAGTTGATGTGAATAAAACAAAATTATACATATAGAGAAATATCATTTTCAAGGAAATTTTTCCATGGTTGTCACCTTTCAAAATTGACCACCAGCGGTGATCTTGCTTTTCAATAATTTGAATCTTAGTTAGAAAATCAAATCTGAATGTTCAATATATTGATATTTCTGAGCGATTCCCCACTAAAACCATTTGAATAGTACGAAAATTTTTTATTGTTTTTACAAATTTTAATGTAGTAAATCTAACCTAGAATCTTTTTTTCAATTTAAAATTTTCCCAATTCAAAAAATTCTATGCAAAAATTATTTGAGACCAGATTTTTTCAACAATCATTGTTCTATTCTATGGATAATAAAGAACTCACTTATCCCGAACTTGTTAATAAAGAAGATTTCATACACAAGCTTAGACTCGGCGAAGATCAGATATATGGCCTTGATCTCAATGACATCAACTTACTTAGCTTTTTATGCGATAATGCATTTAGCAATGAAGCATCTCCCTTATCCAAGAGATGTATAGATGCTTTGAACGTGTTTCAAAGTCCAGTCTCCAAATTTTTATTGAAAGAATCTTCCCTCTTTGAGACGTACTTCTCTTCTTTCTCACAATCAACACCTTATCGCATGTGGGCTCTTTCAAATGTTCTTGGACACTTTTTGGCTTCATTCGCAGATGATGTTTACCAGCTTTTGAATAACTCAGATATAATCTTACCAACATTGTTACATCACCTCCAGAAAGACTTTGTCCAGGATTTCTTTTATCGCCTCCTCGAAGTTAACCCAAATTTGACAACAAAACTTTTCTCATCCATTTTAAGGGCCACATGCGGTAAAGCAATTACAGATGAACATATGGATCTTATCATTAAGAAATCTTCCATTGATGAAAGGAATTCTTCTCTCATACCGATCTGTCTCAACTTTTTACATCCAAACTACGTTTCCGCTGATCTCTCAAGTGTATTCGAGGTTTTGATTGATAATTATCCAATCAATGTTCTTAAACTTTCCACGAAAATCGCAAGAAATGATAAGATCACAAAGTTCTGTATTAATATCTGCTGCGAAGACACTCCCTTTACACAAGAAAAGGTTTTGGCGCTTTTGTATCTCACAACTTTTCCAACAATAAATTGTACAAAAATTATTAAGAACTTGAAGAACCATTTCTTCAATGAGAAGACTAATTCCATGCTCCACTGCGCAGTCGTCAAGTTTATTAAGTCATCACTTGATATCAGCGAGCTGAAGAAGTCAATTATCCAAAATTTCGAAAATGAGATCCAGAAAGTCTGCAACAATGATAATAATGACAACATCCTCATCCGTGGTCATTGTTTCTCTATTTCTCAGGAGCTTAATAAATACATTTCTTCTTCTCAGTGGTATTCGTTCGCAATGGATCGCCTCTACTACTGGAATGAGAAAACATCAACAACGAAGAGTAAGAAAACCGTCTCAACATTTTCAATTGAAGAGACAGATTCACAGCCACACTTAAACGCTAATGTTAACGACTTCCATCCTAAGTTTGATTTCATCTCCGGCATCAATATCAACGATTTCATGAGTCAGGATGATGATCTATTGTTTAATTACAACTCAAAAATTTAATTTTCCAAAAAACATGGTTAACTTGCAATTTTCCATGTTTTAACTTGTTTATAATCCAGCCATTTCTATCGAAGTGACTGAATTTGTATGTTCTATTGTTTTTTTTTTGTTTGTATTTTTAAAAATTTATTTATTTGAATCGAGAGTTTTATTCTAATCATCTGATATAATCATTATTTCCAACAAAATACGTAATATCTGCAACTTAAATATATTTTAAAAAATCTTTTCAGAAAAATCTTGTCGGATTCAATATTAATGCCTACTCAACTATGATGAAATAAATGGACAATATACCTTTTCATCAGATCTTATCAGCGCAGTTTTTTAAATGATATATTTCTGAAACAGATCTATATGAAAGGTTAGCTAATGAAAATAAATCAAGATCATTCCTAATTGAACCATTTTTATCTTAATTCCGTTCAATGATTAATAGAATATTAACGTGGGTGATTTTCCCCGTGGGTGAACAAAGACTTCATTCAGATGTTGATTGTCAACAAAAGACTTGAAAGATTGTTTGTTACAATCTTTTAAGTCATTGTTCCTCACCTGAGGTACGATATCTGTACAAGTATCTCAGATAATGGACATTAAAAATAATCTTAATCCTGTTCCTCAAACATAATATTATGGAAATGGGACAATCTCCATATGCATTTAATGTTACAAACATAAATTCTTGTGATGTTTTTCATATTTCATGACTCATATAGGATAACATAGATAAATCACAGCATAATCTTATTATACATCACATGCATAATTAAATAATGTTATTTATATGTTGGTAGTTATGTGATTCTTGAGAAATATTAATGACCAACAGCACTCTTTGCAAAAGATATCATCATGATATTCCCAATCATTCTATGTACAAGTCAAATAGTTTAGACACATTCTCCAAAATTATATCTTCAATCAGAATCCATATCCTGCACAAGCACATGTGATGCACCTACAGGACGAGTTAGAATTTTTGATGAATTTTATTCAGTGCAAAACTCATAATTTAAAAATACTCGAGTATTTTTTTTTTGCTTAACGTCATTTTTAATGGCTACCTCCAGAACCAAGTGCTTTATAATTTCACAATCAGCTATACCCATATGAAAAAGCACTTCATATTGGATGTATTCAAGCACAACCTACTTCTAGCAATCACTTTTTTACAAAAGATATAACGAAATTAACATCGCATATGTTATCATTTCTTCTTCTTTACAGCATCACTCTAGTATTAGTAGAAACACATCTTTCTTTACTCAAATATATATATGTTAAATTTCGAAAATAATAACTTTTTTTTAAACAGGTGAATTTTCAATTCACAGACATAATATATACAGATTCAACTTGTATATTATTGTTAATACAGATTTATACAAAACCTATCAGCCAAAAAAAAAATTACTCGTATATCTTTTTACTGACTTATGCAGAACCACAAAAAGAGTGTGCGTTTCTGTTTTGTATTGTTAATATACGTATGATTGTTGTATATTTAATAAACTTGTCGAGATAATTAAAAATTTATTTTTAATATATGAGTATTATATAAGATATGAATCTTTAACACTTAGATAGTGTAGATAATTTATACATTTTCGAATAAAATACCTTATTTAAACTATCCAAATAGATTATGATTTAATTCTGCGAAATACTATCATTAAAATATTCCATATGCAAATAATTCTTATATTAACTTCATGTGAAGTTTAAATGCATGAAATCATGCATATTTTCCGCTGATCAAAAAATGAATATTGTGAAGAACTAAAATTTCTATATATCACTTAAATATTCCATATTTATATATAAAATAAAAGATTTCTATTGATTTAAATTACTGATAATATAACTATATATTGAAAAAATCAAAATTTAATAAGAGAAATTATTTTTTTCCAAAATTTAAAATGTATTCAAATTATAACATCTTTTATAAACAAATTGGCAGATAATTTTTCTTGAGCGTCCATATAAACATTGTTCACAAGCATGCATAGAAGCTATTTTCTAAATTCGGGGCCATTTGGCCTGTATGCGGGGTAGTTAGTATAAAATTATCTCAATCATTGTGAATTAAATTATAATGTTTAGGTCAGGTGAGTGGGGCTTCCAGGCGCGTTGCGCCCTCTAGCCCCGAAGATGTTTAGTATAAATGAAGTTTTTATTCGGAAAATTGTTAGTCTTCTGGTGTGAATTCGGAGGACTCTTCTTGGATAGAGTCTTGTATTTCCTCCTCCTCTTCTTCCTCCTCCATTGCTTCTGGGTCGAAAACATTATATAATCTGTCACTTTTCACAAATTATATATATTTTCATATTTTGTCACTTTTCTGTCACTTTTCGGGTAAAAACATTTTTATTATTATATATAAATGAATTTTACAAAACCGCCGTTACCGTTCTTTGGAAATAAGAGTAGATGTAAAGATATTATATTGAGAGAACTTAAGAAACTACCGAATGGTCTAACATTTGTAGATTTGTTCGGTGGAAGTTTCTATATATCCCATTTATGTCATACCGTATTTCCTGACTCAAAGATTATATGCAATGACTTCGACAACTATATGGACCGTCTCAAACATATTCCAGACACAAACAATATATTGAAAGAGTTAAAAGAAAAGATACCTATAGGTAAGATGGAACGTATACCATTAGATAAGAAAAATATTGTGAGAGAGGTTTTGAAAAAAGCAGAATATATAGACTGGGATAGTATATCTGCTAGACTATTATATAGTGGTTCTATAAGAGTTCATGACATTGAAACACTTATGTCAAAAGTTTTATATCTTAACTATACAAATGTTTTCAAAGAGGACATAGAAAAATATATTGAGGGTATAGAATTTGTGAGATGTCATTGGACAGAGTTGTATGAAAAATATAAAGACAAGGAAAATGTTTTCTTTATAGTGGACCCGCCGTTCTATAACACATGGGATTTTCAATACCAAGTAGACTGGACTTTGAGAGACTCTTTAGAAACTTTAGACGTTATACATAACCATCCATGCTTTTACTTTACATCCGATAAAAGTGGTTTGGAAACCGTTATGAGATGGTTAGAGGACATACATGACTATGAGTTTATATATGACAAGATAGAATATGAGAGAGGTCCTATAAACTGGAGAAAGTGTCACAATAAAGAAATTTTATTAGTAAGTAAATGTGGTTTGAAATAGGACTACTTGTTTTGTTGCATGCTAAGTTCGGTCAAAATGTAAACCTCTCAATTTTATCGTCGGGGGAAGTAACTCAATTCCTTCAAAATTATTCTTTAAATATTGAATTTAAAGTTATTTAATTTGGATTATAAATAAATAGGCTAATACAATATTTAAAAATGAGAAAAAATAACTTTTCAAAGAACTTTTCATAATCTCAAAGAAAATTTTTTATTCAATAATTATATAAATTAATTAACATTCATAATGAAATTGGATTTTTTTTATAAAAAATTGGTCCTACTTAACTTTTTGAGAGAATTTGGCTTTCTCGTAAACGAAAAAGGGATTTGACGGAGTCAAATCCCCGCTCACAAAAAGTGGACTTTACATGTCAAATTTTATATGCATGTAATGTCCACTTTTATGAGTTTTAGGAAGGAATTGGAAGCCATGAGTTACTGACATTGCATCAGTATCTCATAGCCTCCAATTCCTTCAAAAAATGGGAGAAACTTTGTCCGAATAGTTTAACATTCGGACAAAGTTTCTCCCATTTTAAGAAGGAATTGGAGGGTAAGAGATATACCATATGAATGTATATCTCTTACCCTCCAATTCCTTCTCGAAAGTGTCCAAACTTTGGGTTAATTGCAAAGTATTAACCCAAAGTTTGGACACTTTCAAGTGGAGATGGAAGGCTTTGGGGTATATATTAATACAATATACCTCAAAGCCTTCCATCTCCACTACAAATGGGAGAAACTTTGTCCGAATAGTTTAACATTCGGACAAAGTTTCTCCCATCTTTCAATGTAATTGCTACCTGTGAGGTACTGACTTGAAGTCAGTGCTTCACAGGTAGCAATATCCAAAAATTTAAAAACATTTTATCAGTTTCGTTAGAGAACTAGAGCCTCCAAGGTACTGAAACCAGAATCAGTGCCTAGGGGACTCTAGTGATCTATATAATCTGAGAAACTTTGAAGAAATTGTTCGACATTTCCTCAAAGTTTCTCAGCAATTTAGCGAGGAATGTTCGTTATCGTGTAGATATTTATAATATATACATAATAACAAACATTCCCCGCTAAAAGATGTAAAATCTTATAAGAAATAATTGCAAAAGAATAACAAATTGCAACAAATTTTTTATATGAAACTGAACCTTATGAGGTAGTGATTCAAGATCACCGCCTCATAAGATTCAGTTTCAATCTCAAGTATCTCAAAAGTAAGGCTCTATTTTTGCCATGTAAAGTGTCACTTTTTCTGTCCAAATGATAAGTTATTCAGAGAAAGTTTCCCAGCTATCAAGAGGGGATTGTTCCTTATGAGGTATATATTCATACTGTATACCTCATAAGGAACAATTCCCTCCTTAAAACGAGAAAACTTGTTCGAAATTGTTTATCATTTCGAACAAGTTTTCTCGTTTTTAATAAGAAACTAAAGGCTATGAGGCACTGATTATATATTAGTGCCTCACAGCCTTTAGTTTCTAATAGATAGCTGGGAAACTTTCTCCAAATGATAATTATTCAGAGAAAGTTTTCCCAGCTATCAAGAGGGAATTGTTCCTTATGAGGTATATAGTTATAATGTATACCTCATAAGGAACAATTCCCTCATTAAAATCGTAGATATTTTTTACTTATTACTCATGCTTTCAAAATCACAATCCTCTGAAAAGTTATTTTTTATTAAGAATTTAGAATTTTGATAAATACCTTTTTTCAATTTGATATAATACTTATATATTTTCAAAAAGACATTTTGAAAAGATATCTCAAAAGTTCTCTGAAAACCT